GTTTTTATGGGTCTTATCAACAGTTCAAGTTGGAAAATCATCTTTGTTCCTTTTTTATTTTTTGAGAAATCTGATTTTAACAGATTTGAAATCCTACTTTACTGACTTCTAGATTTCAGTAGTTATGATTCAGATATTGTCTGAAAAGATGAATAGAGAAGAATAAATATATTTTTTCCATCAGTATTCTTGATACATATGTGGTTGTGCCGCAGGAATGATTTGTGCTGGGTCAATAAATCTTGAAAATCAATGCAAAACTATCTTCTTACAAAGTTGGTTTCTGATTGTTATGTCGTTTTAATCTTACAAGTTCATGCTATGATTATAAATGTATGATCTTATGTAATTACTGAGTTGGTGATTCAAACTTTCTTTTATTCCCTCTCTATTACAGATTTCTTTATACATGTTGCTGTGGACACTCGTTCCCCCAGCACACAATATACTTTCGAAATAGATATCAACTAACATATTGCGCTTGTCAGACTAATGAAATTATTATCCGAAAATTGTAATAGAAAATATGTGAATTGTCCTATGAACGAACGTAATAAATAATTAGAAACGGGAAAACGCATTGAGACGGATTCGGATATTATCTGGTTTGTGGAATTGTTTTCAGTATATAAATTAAGCACGTTGATGGACTCTTGTTCAACGAAACTGTCTGAATATGTTCGTGTGAAGACAAATGTCGTTGATGACAATAAGGATTAATCGATTTATATCATAAATTTTTTGAGCTTCGAAATATTAACCACTGAATCCTCTTTAGCAGAGTATCTTAATGATAATAATTATAATAATACAAAATGTGAATATTCTTGGTTCGACCTCTGACTGTATCGTGAAGATACACCGACGATAAGTCATAAGACAAAATACGATAGTTGTCTAGTTCCATTTGATTGCCACTAGTTACTCACCCTCAGTGATAACAATCACAATCCTCGCTTTATTTAGTAGCATATGTTTGATTACAGCAATGAGTTTTAACCAACAAAATTATCGATTACAGCAAAATTTATCTTTTCCAAGTATTTAGCTTCTGAATATTTCGAAAAAGATGTATAAACAGTGATCAACTGTCATTTATATTCGTTCGTAAATATTTACAACCAGTCTTACATCCATAACATATGTTTTCATCGTTCATGGATTAATCCAATGGTAATCATCACTAATTTTTCCAAAGAACGGACGAGGAGGAAAAAATTACTAACCAATGTACCGGTACTTCTTGAATTCTTCAGTGTCTAGATTCGAGATAAACTGTTAACACCCTAAGAAAGCCTGTAAATACATACAGTCGATAGATACAAATAATTAATTTGAACAAATATAAAATAATGTAGGGGATAGTTGAAGATCGTATATTCTTCACAGTTTAAATTACAATCTGATATTAATTAGATCACTATTGGGAACCTGGAGTCATTGGACGGCTGTTTCGTCATTTTATGGGACTTTTTAACAGTGCGTACCCATGACTTCTCATTCAAGAAGGGAATCTACGTCCTCCAGTAACCCACACGAATGCTCAATCTCTAGACCACTGACCTGGAATCCGGTGATGTTAATGTCGCCATATTGCACGACCCTCGACTATTGCTTACGATGGATATCTTCCACACACCATACACGAATTAAACTCCATTAGTCATTTCAAAAGTGAATCTTGTGGGTTTTCACCTGTAGTGTCGGTCCTTATAACTTATTCTAGTTTCTGGACAGGCCAATTTGTCCATTCTTCTTGAGTCACATTTTGACCTTGTTAATTATTCACTTGGGAACCCTGACTGCTTTGTATGAGCGTATGTGTGTGTGAATCTTATCCTACTCACCACATTTCTGTAGCTTATCTTTGTGTGGCTATAAATATTGACTAACTCATGATTAAATAGAATTGCCTCACATGCCTTCTCCAGTGCGCGCCGTCTCGTTTCGCTTCGCTCCTTTGATCGTCTGTCTGAATCAATGATTGTACAGTATATACACATTCGAGCTCGTTTCTCGTATTTGACTTATTTAATTCCATCATTGACTAACGTAATTTAGGTGGATGATTATATACGAGGATAAACGACATGTATATTTGAATAACAATCGATCATATGATCTAACTGGAGTCAGATCTCGGGTAACTAAATACCATCCAGAATGATCACGCTGTAATGGTATAGCTGAAAAATGTTCACTGATCTTTATATACTTCCTTACCTGACTTCACTATGTGATTTCAATAATGTTTTTGACACGAAGACCAATACAGTGCTATTGAATTAATTAACTTTAGCCTATAGTTGGCTACTTCAAAGCTTATAATATGATTTGCTCTCAAGAGTTTGAAGTAAAAAATTTCTCACTCACTTGTGTTGTATATAATTCAAACCTAAGAAAACATTTTAACTTCAATTACTTCATGGCGCAATATGACAATACTGTGCAATAACCAAAATAAATCTTAACGAAATTAACCATAAACAACATCCATAGCTTTCAATTATCTGTGTTAATAATCTGGCATTGATTTTATCTAATTATCAACTAATTATTCATCTTCACTGAGCTATTCCTAGGAGGGGTCAACAAGAAAACTGAAAACTTTGATTGCATGATATTTTAACACGTTTCATTAAATAATATCTTCAAATCGTGAAGAAACTAATATTCACCACAGAAAGAAATATATGATGCCATATTTTGCTCTGTAAATAATAGATGACTCTAAAATATAAATTTAGTCTAATTTCCAACTCGCCGTGTGAATATACCCTGATCTTAGCATAAACCTAACACTGAACCTCAAATCTGATGCTTTATTTTACAGAATACTGAGTTCAGATAGCCACTAACCTATGTCACGGGAATGAACGTATTTCTAAAGATTTGTCATTTCCCGTTGATGATAAAACTTATTTTAAAAGGTATGACTAAAGGCTATATCACATAGGACCCATAAATGGTAACACGGACTAATCAAATGTAGTACCAAATACCAACCATGTTAAGTGCAAACCATTACAGTAGGTGTTAGTATTTGAAATTTCATGAATATAAAGGGATACTAGTTCATTCAAGATAACAGATATGCTTTACTCACAATTATAATTTGGAACAAAGTATAATGTCGGAAATTTTCGCTGATTAGTCTTAATCATTTAATGTGACAATAAAGTATAAATTCATATCGAATAACTGTGACTATTGGACACTCAGTTATTCAATGAATAGAACTTGGTTAATATAAAGGACCATACAATCTTGATCAACAATCAATTCGTGTATCAATTATTTTGTTCTTCATAAACTCCATCTTTTTTCTTAACATTGTAAGGCGGCCTATCTGAATATCTAGGCTGCCTGTTCCTTCCATCTGGATATTTCAACATGTTATCTGTTTTCTTGTTTATTTTAACACATCATTATGTCTATCAGTCCCATAACCTATTCAGGTGCGTTTGTAAAAATTTTATGACATTCGTTGTACAAGTTACAAAACAGCCTGATCAAAGACATCGTGATTGCTGACAATATGTACCGAAACGAATTCACATTATTCAGATGTCAATTCCTGAACTGCTAACATCTAACTGGCAACTACTCAATATTCATCATCACGACTGATCAAAAATAATAAGAAAGAGAATCTTGTTGAAGTACTTGTTGAAGTGAGAATTCTATATTGTACCAAAAATATAATAATGAATAAAGAAATTGATAATAATAATAATAATAATAATAATAATAATAATAATAATAAGTTACTGATTATTTGAAAGAGGAGTATTGAATGTCCAAAATATTCGATCGACAAACTACTAAAATCTGATTGGTTCTTATTTGATAATTTTTTACAATAATCCTATTGGTTGAAATTTTCATCACAATAAACTGTATTATGATTATTTTTTGTTTTATTTTGATTTTAATAATCACTAAGATAATATTTGTATCCAAGTGTGTATGTATTAGTTCCCAAATATTTCTAACCAATCAACATTTACAAAATAAACAAATAATGAAATAAGGTAGAAGGAAACTACTGGTTAGATAGAATTTTTCTTTATAGAAATAGGGAGAAACTATAAAAGCGAACAAATAAAACACAACATATTTTTCTATTCATTCTTAAGTATATGCTTGAAGAATAAATAAATAAATAATAAATAGGAAACTAATGTATTCGCGTGTCTAAACATTTAGTATGGTATATATATATATATATATATATATATAGAGAGAGAGAGAGAGAGAAGAAAAATACTAACTCATATCCACCATCCATGGACATCTAACAATATGACTACCTACCTATCTACTAATCGACTGCAATATATATATATATATATATATTGCAGTCGATTAGTAGATAGGTAGGTAGTCATATTGTTAGATGTCCATGGATGGTGGATATGAGTGAGTATTTTTCTTCTCTAATTCAACCTATAGACAAATTTCCCTATGGAACAAATAATGTACACATAAGTAACGATCTATACTAATACATATATATATATATATCAAATCGTATGCTGACTTAATTTTAACTTTCATATTGAATAACCTAGAAATAATAATAATTTACTTTCTTTGAACGTCCAGCCATCTAGTACTTTTTTTAACAAAAAAGTAAACTATATTCAGTCACTATAATAAATTCTACATCATTGAAGAAACCCTATAATCAAAAGTATTTCAGTGTATTTATTCTTCTAACGTTTAATACATAGTTTGAACGAATAAAACTCTTGGTTATGCAATAATACATATTTATATTTTCACACTTCTTTTCTCTTATTCAAATTACAATATTAATATTTTTCCCATTTGAAGAGTGTGGACATTAATGTTTGTGCCTGTTATTTAGCTTCTCACACACAGACACAAATGTATACACATATGTTCAGGTACATATGATTAAAAATTTGGAGCCATTCATGAAACTAGCTTATTATTTTTGATTGAATTAAATAATAACAATATCACTAGTTGAGATGAACACTGAAACATTGGATGTAATCGATAAATCGTTGAAATGGTCAGATTATGTAATGAATACAATCTCGAATAATAATAAAAATAATTGTGGTGAAAATAACACTGAATGTTCTTGGATAATCGATCAGATGACTTGTCAAAATCTGAATATTCCATGTCATCATCACTATCATCATCATGATAATGACGAAGATGATGAAGTGAATAACACTGTGAGAAAAAATGGGGAAATTGACATGTCTATTAATTATGAAATTAGCAAATCTATTCAACATGTAAATCATGATAGTAACAATGATTATAAAATCATGAATACTACTGTTCATAATGATAATAATAATAGTAATATTAGTAGTAGTAGTAGTAGTAGTAATGAATTCGGTATAGATACTTCAAAAGTCAACATTGAAGTTGAGAATAAAAATCATAATAAATTAATCAATTACATGGAATGTGAACTCGAAACACTGATGAAAACAAACTCGAACTGGAATAATAATCGTGATAAACCCAATAAAATTCTGGAAGTATCTAATAGTTATGATGGACATTATGAAAATTCACTAGTCAATAAAGCGAATAGTAAGATAATCTATTATTATTATTATCATTGTTGTTATTAATATTTTACTTGAGTGTTTCAGTTTGAACATGAGATTTCCGTCTCAATTAAATAGCATAAAAACTCTTGTCTTGATATTTAATACATCTCCTTGTGTATTTGGCAGCAATCATGTTGAAACTGTTATGTTAAATTACTTATAAAAGTTTTAGTATTTTTCAACTGTTAATATTGAGATCTGCAACCGAACAGTCTCTATGTTAACATATGTGCATCCAGAATGAATGTTCTTGTTATTGTCTTTTAAAGTAATAACTTTCATTACATCTGAATTATGATTAGCAGTGAAATGTAAAATTCTGATTTCGTCCAATTGGATGATCATCAGCTAGGTTTATTTGCATCTGACTATCTTGCTGTTTGCACTAAGATATCATGATTGATTATATTAACAAATAATATCATTCTTGAAAAATCATTTTTGTCATATACTATGAATCATGGGTGAGATTATCTTCACCTTCTTCAAATTCATGAAGTGCAGTGTGACTAGGAGTTTCAGATAATAGAGCATGATCTTCGTTAAGGCATCAAATATTTGCATATTCGTGTCAGGATTTACTCTATAAGGCAGGTACATAACAGGTCGTTGCTGGATGACTGCATCTTACATTTCTATAGTAACACGATATCACTTTTAACGAAAATGATCTTCAAGTGGCTAGTCTTTTTTCTTTAGACATCTGATAAAATCGAATAGTAATTATATTATCTCACTTTTAACCCAAATATAATAAATTACATTCAGAGTAAAGAGTTAATACATTTGCCACTTGAGTAAAATCCTGTCGAAATTCTAACTAAAACGAAACGAAAAAAAATTATTATTATGCTGTATTAATAATTTAGAAGTTCCAGTTCTAAGAGCAACATTATTCTGATTAGAACCAAGTAAAGGGTACTAGGTTCGTGTTCCCAGTGTAAACACCTACATTAACATTTGGCAAGTTCATTAATCTGTGACAAGTCTTAAATAGGATGAAATGAACGCTTTGAATCCTGCTACTAGTCACAATTTATGCATTCTAAAGAATAAATGTTTAGTTTCTTTTAAATAGTACATTTTTTCCCAAATCTAAGAATTGATACCAACCGAATTATCCATGAGAAAGAATAATGGACATTTCTTTCTACAACTTTTGAAACTTAAACCTACATTGATCTATGATGACTCGCACCTACAAGTCAAAACAAATCTCCATAAAATGTCTTGACTAACATTTTTAAACTCCAAAGAAGTATCCAGTCTCTATGACAACACACATTGCATCGCAAACACAGTGAATTTTCTAGTTTAACTCTTAAAGGGAAATTTAAATTATAATTATATTTAGCAATCATAACACATACTACTTAGTCATCTGAATCATAATCAGTAACAAGATTTGAACCAATAATTCAGTAGTATACTTTGAAATGACTTCACTTCAACTGTTTGTATGATAAACAAATAACAAAGATGGAAGTGATACTTGTCGTAATCACTATAATGTTACTTCTTAAGCTTTTCAGTAATTAAATTCAAGATAAAGTGAAGACATTATAAGTGAGTGTGTAACTACATGTCGTTGAGAATGCAATATCTAGCATTTTCTAGCACTTTTGTTTTTATTTAGAGTGTATTTCGCATGTAAAAGTGTGCTTTTTGTTGGGAATTTCATTTCAGTCATCTAAAGCTATTTACATATGCCTTTTGCAAACATTCCACGACAACATATCTCAAGTTGCTGGACGTTAAAAGTAAATAAAGGGAAAAGTCGGACGTTGAAACGAAATTCACAGTGAAGTTATGCTTTAACATTTAGGACTCAATAAATGAGCGGAAAAGTGTTTAAAAATATTTTATATCGCAAAGTTGTTGGGGGTTAAAAACGAATGCTCAACAAATTTGAGCACACATATATCATCTGTGACAATTTTCAAATTATTGCTACTTGGCAATAATATACAGTTATTTACAATATGGAATGAAAACCAGGTGAATACTGGTAAGAAGTTATGATTCAGACTGAAACCAGGAAATGTAATCAGTGAGTGGATGTGTAAAACACTGGTTTCTAACTCACTTGTTGGAATATATTTATGTTTGCCGTGATAGCTGAAGGCTTTGGGTTCAACTTTAAATAGCGTTTTGTGTACACAATATCGGTGTGATTCTTTTTGGCTTTAAGAATGATGGAAGTACTTCCCGGTTATCCTCAACGACATAATGTTTCAACATAGTGCGCTTGATACCGATTCACTTGGACTATATGCTCAATTACTTAAATTGGATTGACGAAATTCGATCAGCACTAAAATACTAAAGAAAAAACATGACATCGATCACTACTCTATGATCAGTTAACCATATGATTTTGAAGTATTCCTCGATTCTCAATGACTGTTCAACTATTTCAACTCGATGACGAGAAACTTCCTAACTCAGTGGCTTCTAACATTTTCAGATTTAACTCAGAATAGAAACGAGTGGATACCCTACTTAGTTTTCTTTTATATACTTCATAAAAGTTATAGAGACTCTATTAACTAAAAGAACTGTTGTGAGGTTAAGTTTTTAACTCAATTGTATCTTTCATCTTAGATTACTACTCCCACTTATTCGTATTTTCATAAGCTATGTGATGAACTGATCTTAGTAAATAAACTATTAAACATGAAAAAGCTCTGGACACGTGTTTCGTTATTGTATGAGATTTATCAGCAGTGGTCATCCACGACTCTGCCACAAGCGGATCCAACCCGAATATACTTGTCTCAAACACAAACCGTTTCCTCCTTTAATTTCTTCACAATATTATCTCTTTTTTCAACAAATCAAATATGCTAGGACGTATCTTCATTAAATAAGTAAAGCAAATCAGTATTGACTTACACAGAGATAGGATTTTTACGCAATTTTTACCGGAATACTTACTAATTTATTACATGAATTATGTTTACAAACGCAAATTTGTGATTAACTAATCTGCTGAAATAAACTATTCATCAATTATCAGAAGGGGTTTTGTGGAGATTTTAGAAATTTCACTGATTGAAATCATGAGTTAATTGAAGCTAGACCACCATGGAAAACCATCAATTGCTTTAGATGTAAGGGAATGTCAACTAAGATTGTTCACAAAACTTTCAACATTCAACAGTACCAAACACTTTAAGCTATTTCATCGTTCATTTAATGGATAAGAGATATTTTTGATCAAAAACTTCATTTCCAGACTTAACTCGATATTTTTAGATCGACATGTTGGATTGCACTATGATTAAAATGTTCACAACAGACAATTACAGATAATACCAGCACATATCCATTAAATGAACAGAAAAATGGATGAAAATGCATGACACGATACATTTAACGAACATTGAAACATCAAGTATAGACTCAGTTAAAACGATAGTATAAAGTTAAGAATTATTTTCAAATAGGATATGTGTAATTTATGAATAGTGATATTACTGTATTAGAATACACTTGAAGTTTATCAGTTATTTGTATTAGTTTGTCTAAAAGTTGGAATTTAGAAAACCAAGGTAATTTTTTCAATTATACAGTGCGATATTGTACCGTTGGATGGATGATATTTCTATCAATAAAACATAAATTTCAACATATGTATTTATAGAGAGTGTAAAATGTTACTTCAGGACTGGTCTCCGTCAATTTCTTAACTAATAATAGAGCCTGAATTAGTTGAGCATATCGATCAATTCATTTACATTGGAAGTCTCTCAGTCATGGATCTAGTGAGATCTCGAGGTGATTCTGAAACTTAATTTTTTACTTTTACTAACTTGCTTCTGATGACTAAAGGACAAGTTTACTATTCAGCAGTTTTCTCCATTCTACTTCATGGATAATGAAAAATGGTCTTTAAAAATACAGGATATTCTTCACTGGATTTCTATCATAGGAGACTTCTAAGTACTGCTTATTTATTTTACGATCCCTGAGTATAATATTCTGACGTTAGACACATAGTGCTAGGTAACGATAGCAAATCGGTGGATGATGCAGTGACTGTTTATCAACCAAGCTAGTTGGGACAGATATCACGTATATCAAACGCTCCCTCTTTACCTCGATGAACGATGTTGGTTAATGCATAGATAATTTAAAAGAAAGATAGGAGTGGTCAAACCAAGACATGATATCAATTCATAGAACTATTCATAAATGAACTGAGACATAATATGTACATGCAGACAGTCTGGTTGGAGTCAGCACAATTATTGTAGATAGTTGTTAATGTTTTTAAATGACGTGGCTTGGAATCAATCACTGTGACGTATATGCATTCACTCTTTGCTTTTCATTTCAGTCTTACTCCTAAAATCTCTCTAAACTCTTCCTCTGATTTAGTTATTTAATCTTTTATACAGCTATTGATAATATTACTACTCTCACTACTCAGGAATGAAACTTGATAATTTTATTCTGCTGTGTTAATATGGCGTTACAGCTTAAACATATGAACATATATTCCACCTTCTACATTCCGTATGACTGAATCGATAACGGAGTTTGATCATCTTCTCTCCAAGTATTAATTTACTAACTCAGGAATCCCAGCACAAACTTACATAATATTTATTCTATGTGAAACTGCATTTCAATTACTAAATAGAATCGGGAACCTATTACAAGAATTTACATATACTGGACGAATTACATTATTATTATTTTAGTATACTTCGTCATTGTCGACCTGAGTGATTTCATGGTTTATGATACATCTACTAATTATCTAAAATATGAATGGGAATAAATTAGATGAGATCAATGAAACCTTGATTTGAAAGTCTGTCTTCCATCATCAAAAGTTAACTAAATTTTGATAAAAGTTTATTGTTCCCTGATTTGTGGTATATGCCGTAAAGTCTTGTTTGATCTAGGTTTCGTTTTAGTTGACACTTCGCTATAAGAAGAATTTGAACTTATGTCATTCATTATGACAATCAGAAATTTTACCGTTGTAACATTTCGGTGGACCAGCTTAGCGAAACACGAATACTCTTCATCTAACCTTTTTAACTACACTAATACATAACTACAAATGTTTCCTAATATTCTCTTCAGTCAATTTTATTATGTCATGCTGTTCCTCATTATGTAAATTTTCGTTTTTCCCATAGTTTAAAACGTTTGAAATTACCCATCTTTGCTTACAATGATTGTAACTTCAGGCAATATCGAGGCAATCCGTACAGGATGCACATGTGCCAAGAAGAGACTGATCGACTGCAGTCCTGAACATCAATGAGAAGATTCAAACAAACAATACAAAAATGAACTGAAACTTTACCCGATTGCGAAAGTTACTGGGTTAATGGACTCAGTAGCTAAGTGGATAACGCGGTGGCGTTTGGAGCAAAATGTACTAAGTTCGAACCCCAGAGTGAAAATCAACTCTGGGATGCAGATACATCCAACTGGCGAGTCCCAAATAGGGTGAGACACGCGTCCTGGTTTCCACTGCTAGCCACTATCCATCTTTGCTTATAATGTTTGAAATTATCGTAGAATTGTTTATCATTTATCACTGAACTGTTAATAAAATTTTCTAACTTTGATTATTCCACAGGTAGTAAGATCGATCAATATCATGATTATATTATCAACAAATCCAACAAAGAATTGAATAATTTCAATGAGAACGAGACTGATTCATCTGAAGGACAGGGACAAAACAGAGAACTAAACGACTCATACCATCGTCCTCATTATCATCAAGCTATCAACAATGGAATCATAAAAGGCAACTGCCTATTTCAGTCAGCCTTAAAACGACCAGAAAATTCCAAAATGATTGATTACTCCAACAGCAATAATCAAATTATCGATGGAAATATTTATAGTGACCATTCACAAAATAAATGTGAACAATCATCGATTCCTGATTATCAACCAGTATACCCTGATCATATTTCTTGTTATCCAACTCATTGTATCACTGATTCGTCAGGTTACACTTCATCAAATTCTTCATTTTCAAATTCATTATCTGAATGTTCCACATCGTCATCGTCATCTTTGACAGTAGTTAGTAAGATTAACCTACCTACTGAAGATGACGATGCTACTCATAAGAATATAATCAGTAGGTTAGATTGTACTGATGATAAATCTCATTCTAACAGATTAAAGGAAATGAATTATGAGAAATATTTACATGTGAATTTATATTCAACACAAAATGATGACCAGTATTCCAAAAAATGTCTGAATTTGACTGAATTAAATGAAGCCTATCATCAACAGACTAATGTAAGTAGTAATGTAAATTGTAGAGACAGTGGTTTCAACAATTCACTGACCGCTTATTTACAGTCAAATAAACATTTTATGAATGATAATAATTATCATTATAATAATGTTTTAATGGAACAACATAAGTGCACTTGGAAGAATGATCTTATGTACAAAGGTTTTAGTAAATTAAAGAAAAATCTTCTTGAAGGTGATGACAATGATGATGATGAAGAGGATGACGAAGGAAATGACGATGTTGGTCAGGATGATTATATGAGTGAAGGTGATACAGGACAAAGACCAAATCATCAATTAAATTTAAACCATACTGTAAATGAATTAGACATTAATGTTCCTATTCAATTAACAAACAATAATCCTCATACATTAACAACTGCAAAAAAATATAATAAATATACAGCACACGAAATTGGATTTGTTGACGGAATGATTGTAGACTGCAACAACGATGAAATGATGAACAATATGACTAAAATGTTGAATTTTACACAGTCAAGACAACTTATCAACAATTCAGCTTTTCCAATTAACGGATATACAACAACAATAACAACAGTTCCACTATCATCCTCCTTCTCCGTACCATCATCATCATCATCTTTATCAAGAATAACAATGACCTCATGTGTCTCCGTCTCTAATAACATCCAAACAACATCATCAACAGCGAATTGTACACGACAAATTAATCATGAGAAAAATAAAAAACTACGTAAACCACGTACAATTTATTCTAGTATGCAATTACAACAATTAGCTAAACGATTTCATTTAACTCAGTATTTAAGTTTACCTGAAAGAGCAGAATTAGCTGCATCGTTGGGATTAACACAAACTCAGGTAAAAAAAAATTAAATCGATTTATTTATTTATTTGTTCGTTTTTTATTATTGATTTCATCAGTTTGTTTCATTTTTTTTTTCTAGCTCTGTATTTAATTGAAATTTGAAGTTGACCGGTAATCACATGGCATTTCATGACAGTTGAGATACTAAGTAAATCGTGCTAATCAGTTTAATCTTTAAATGTTATTCAAGTACATAGTTGAAGAGAATGTTGAGTTTCATTGAATAAAAGAACCGATCAATGATAGACCACCACTGAAAAACTGGAAGCACTAGACGGCCATTTCATCTTAATAAGGGACTCTTCAGTAGTGTACACCCACGACCCAGAACTCAGAATCAATGTTTAGATATTCCTATTCTTAAACATATGAGGTGTTTTGAAAGTTATAAGAGTTTGGAAAGACTACTGATTTCCTTAACTGGCATCTTAAACTGACATTTCAGTTGTAGAGTGAATGCTCACAGACGATTTTAATCTATGACTTTACCTTCCATTTTATACTCACCAAGTGTATAAGTAGACAGTCAGTTCTGTCGTTAGATAGCTGAATCAATAGACATTATTGAACAGTTTTTTTCTATTGATTTTATGTTGGTTTCACTAGTTAACAAGCAACTCTTTTGAGTTATAGGACAGGGACTATATATGAGATAGTGTAACACAAGGTACTGTAGAGGGTAGGTAATTCATTAAACTTGTGGTTGATTCGTGTGTTCTCATTACGATTGGTTCTTTATCCACTATCCATTCTTAATCTGTGGTAAATATACAAAATATTTATTACTAATAATCAGTAAAATCGTAACCACTCAATGAAATGCAACTTCCATCCCATTTAAAATATATAAAAATTGCCTTCATTACAAATGTTTCTAAGATGATAAACTGAGTTGAATAATTTATGCCTCTTTAAACAATGTTAAATTGTGGTCTAATAACAAATAAAGAGGAAACTGTGGCCTTAAAGTCAATAGGATCATTTTCAATCTAAGTTACAAGTATTTGTTATTATTGGTTTTCAATTCTTTCACTAAACTAAAAAAATATGTTAACTTCACTTGGTATTTTTTATTTGAATCTTCCCATTGATGGTTAGGACTGCAATTGATCAGTCTCTTATTGGGGTACATGCTTATTGTGCGTATTGCCTCGATATTGCCTCAAGTCACAAGAATTATAAGCAAAGATAGATAGTGGCTAGTAGTGGAATCCAGGACGCGCTTTTCGTCCTATTTGGGGCTCGTCAGTTGAATGTATCTGCTATCAGGACTCCGTAGCTAGATGGACAACGTGATGACGTTTGGAGTGAATGGTACTGGGTTCGAGTCCTAGAGTGAAAATCAAATCTGAGATTCAGGTACATCCAGCTGGCGAATTCCCAAATAGGACGAAACACGCAATCTGGATTCCACTGCTAGTCACTATCCATCTTTGCTTGTGAAAAATATGTTATTTTCATAATGTCACTTTCATTGATTATTGTATTTAAGTTTAACCACTTAATTGATTTTACTTAAATTTCTACAAAATAAAGCTCTGTCTCCAAATGCCTACATTTCTTGACAAACATTATAATTATAGGTTAAAGTGGACGATTTAATTATTATTTTCACCATTAATTCTCTTCCCATTATTTTATTTCTTATTGAAAGAAGGGGAAAAACAGTGTTATTTTTTTATCATTGTATGTTATTAAAATCTGGTTGATACTATAGGCAGGTAAAGTTAAAATAACCAGTCGGTTATTTTTATTATTATCATAAAGGGTTTTTTGGATATTATAGTAATTTTAATAGTTGAGATCATGAGTCAATTGAAGTTAAACCATCATGGAAAACCTGGAAGCACTGGATGATCCCTTCTGATATTAATCAAAATATGCTCACTAGTGACTCGCTTCAAGAGGTATTTTCTGGAGTTCTAGTAGGAAGCAGCAACTAGTGGATTTAAACCGGGTCTGTTGTGAGATATTAACTCACTAAAGACAATGGTGTACGGTGGCTCAATTTCGTGGAGTAGTTGAAGTTAGACATTAACACCGTTGGATGCCAGTCGGCTCAGTGGTCTAGGTGTTAGGTGCTTGCGTGCTAGACTGATAGGACCTGGGCTGGAATATCACGAGGCGGGATCGTAGATGCGCACTGTTGAGGAGTCACATACTAGGACGAAACGGCTCTCTAGTGCTCCCAGGTTTTCTATAGTGGTCTAACTTCAATTGACTCATGATCTCAACTATTAAAATTTTTATTATTGTTTCATATTTTTAATGTGTATATAAACTGTGAATGAGTGGTTAATGCATAGACTTCATCAAATTCTAATTAATTTATATTCTACTAAATAAAATATATAAGTAGTTGTTAAGTTAAGAATGTTCCAAGTTCAGTTTCCACGACTAACAAAAACTAATAGAGAGCCAAAAAAAGAACACTGAAAAATCTGTTTGAAACTCACCAGGGTTGTGTATATGTGAACCTTTAAAGTACAGAATCTAGGACATCCAGTACTCCCAGTGAGAATGATAATTTTACACTATCGAGTAAAAATTCAACAGTTCACATATTCAACTTTCATTAGTTAATGTAATCAAATGGAACCAACATTCAATAACATAGATGGTATCTGCCTTCCACAAGTTACTATGATGACCTCAGAATTTCAAAATATCATAATAGAGGTTGACTACGTTGGAATTGAAGTTAAGTGGACCCTATGGTACACAATATTACTAGTTTGATCCTACATTACTTCCTAAATGAACATCAAACTGGAGAATTTCCAATTAACGCAAACGTCTTATCCATTTATTCTAATTAACTAATAATTTTCTAGCTAATGTCGATTTGACTGATAAAAAGTAGTTACATCATCTGTTTATGCATTACAAAAAATTTTTACCCAACAAAATTCTACATAATGGAAGTAAATAAAATCTATAACGGTCGTTTCGTCATGATTTTGGACTCCTCAGCAGTGCTCATTCACGACCCCATCCGCGAGATTTGAACCCAGGACCTATCAGTGTCACGCGTGAACGCTTAACCTCTAGACCATTGAGTCAGATGCGCACTGCTAAGGAGTTCTGTACAAGGACGAAACGGCCATCCAGTGCTTTCAGGTTTTTCATGGTGGTCTAGCTTTAATCGACTCGGGAATTCAACTGTAGCAGTAAATAAATCCCCAAAATAAATAGCTTTGTATGCTTTTGACATTGGACGCTGACCATATGTTTTAATGGACTCATCTAGCTGAAGGCGCTCGGTCATGCATCCGCACCAGATCACGTGTGGGAACATCTACTGCAATCGCTAGACAGACTAGATCAGACAATTCTGATATATTGGTAGTTGTCAAATACGACTTCTGATCTCCTCGACTCTGTCTTTTGATTTCTCTTGGTGGGTACGAGTTATATTAGAAGGTGCTACTGGTAAAAGCGTTGTCAAACACTGAATACCTGTGCCATCTTCACAACTATTAAAATTTCCACAAAATCCCCTTCTGATAAAAATGTATAACAGTTCATCCATTTCTATGTTTAATGCAGCACGTGACTTGATTATTAATTTAATTGAATAACACGTGTTTAAATTATTATTTCTTTAAAAGAAATAACTCAAGGTCAATCAATAATAAGGATATTAAACTTAGATGATGACACATCTGTTACCGATTTAAATTATTATCGATTTTTATCATTATGATTTTATTGTCTATTTAAATTAATACCCCCACCCATAAAACCAGACACATTAATTATGACGCAATAAATCAATAATAATAGTGAAAATTCCCATTTTGACATTTGGTAAATAAAGAAGGAATGAATCGAGTGACGAAATTTCTTTTTAATTAGTTTCTCATCATGGCTCTACGTTGATATATTTACAATAATGAAATAATATTCATTGAGTGGATATGTTACGTAATAATTACATGATGACATATCGATTATAAATCAACATTGAGTAATTGAAAGAAAGAGGATTAATAATGATTAAAGTGATGATTCGACAATCAAGAATTTGCTACGTTACATAATATATGAAAAAGAGAAGAAGGAACTAACAAAATATTTTGCTGAATGGTCAGTTATACAGTAATTAGATAAGAATCAATTGACGAATGTTGAGAATAAGTAAAATACAAAAAATGGAAGAGATACTAAAATAGTTTATTAAAGTTCTAGTACAAATAATGGTTTCCGTTATAACTCAAAGGGTCGCCGATTAGAGGGCAATGACTTATCGATCGGATCAAGGGATTCAGAATCTCGATAGATTATTCTGGTCCGTTGTCCCCGACTCAGCTAACTCGATCAAGAAGTCTTGGTAAGGCGTAGAAAGTGTATTCTACAGGCAAACAACAGATATCAAGTCAGGTCAGGTCAGATCAAACAGGCACACAAGTCAAGCGTATTTATACAAATATTTACAATCGATATTGTCATGGCAAAATGTTTTTAAACATCAGTCAATAAGTTCATCAATTGACAGCCAACAGTTTCTAACTGATATTTGGACATAATGACATGTAATTAATTGGTTCATAATAATGAAGGTGTTAATTTTCAATTTCTTAAATTACAAACATATTGACAGATTTGTTTAAATTAAAATTAATATAAAATGAAGATCTTTCAAAATCTTAAAAGAAAACTGAATAGATAAGTGTATAGTATAAGAATGAGTTAATTACAATTATCAATTTAGCTTTGAAGGGTTATTTTTTCAGTGAACTATAGAAATCAAATATATAATATGTATTGGAAACAACTTTGTGCATTGAAGCGGAAGAATGTATTTGTAAAATCTCAGCGAAAGAATATGAAGTAAATCCAACGTTTGGTCTGGCGAATCTGGTCCAAGCTTTTTCAAAGAAATAAAAACTTTGTACGTTGTCCAAAATGTTTTAAATGATAGAGGAAAACAGCTTTTTTTAATATTTTTACAATTATAGAGTGAACAACATGTATAAGCGAATAATATTGTTTTCGATTAGATTCTCATCAGGCTTTACTCTAATATACAGTAATGTATTTATATATGAAATGAATTAAACTAATCAAGGTATTTTATAAGTCAATGATAACAATGAAAACGATTGCATAATAAGTGAAACGCCCTTATCTCTCCCCTGGTCTTAAGTAATAAATGAATTTATTTATTCTTTTTCAAACTTTCTCTTCGTTTATTATTTTTCTTCACCGCCTCCTACCACTTTATTTTCTCTCAGCTATACGTTTCATGGTCCAATTATCTGAACATTTCTTATTACGTCATCTTATAATTTTATAATTGTTATCTCAGTTTCCATATTTTCCTTATCATTGACCTATTTCCGATTAACATTGATTTGAGCCTTTATTATTCTTATCAAAACTAATTCACCTGTTGTCACACCATCAATTTGTACTTTTCACGTTTCACTTATTATGTAATCGTTTTCATTGTTATCGTTGACTTATAAACTACCTTGATTGGTTTAATGATTTCGTATATGAATATAAATATTATTGTATATTACAGTAAAGCCTGATGAGGGTTTAATCGAAAACAATATTGTTCGCTTATATCTATGTTGTTCTAAATTTACAATATAAGAATATTTCAAATTATAGAGTGACATTGTATCTCTTCGAATCGTATATAAAAAATAGATCAACACTTTTGCTAAATCTTAATCTTGATATAAACCTTAAGTTGGTGACACTACATTCTATAGATGAACAATTAATCAGATAGGTTCCATTATATTTTTGAGTGGATTTCATTCATACATATGGCTTCAGAGCATTTATACATACTAACTTTAAATACCTAACCTGTAACTGGGATGAATGGGATACTCTTAAAAATCCGTTTGGGTTCTTTTAAGGATTCGAGAAGATGGGTAATCTATGTCCAGAACGATAAGTTCATCTGTTTCTGTTTTTTTTTTTAATTTACGGGCAGAATGATCTATAGATAATATTAACTGATTTATTATTTATGTAAAATCTCCTTACACTTCGCAATCTTATTGTTTTCTTTGCCAGAAAATATTCACTTGTGAAAACTGTCTTCTGATTAACTAGAAACTAGTTGGAAACTTGTCATTTCTGTTTTAAGCTCGACCTTATACCATATTGTCGCCATTCAATGATTTGATAAAATGAGATAGATTCGGCCTATTTAATAACTAAATTAAAGTTAGTTTTAATAACCCAAGTTTTTGCCGTCTGACGTTTTTTTACTTTCATCAGTAAACTAGCTGTAAAAACACAAAAGTTTTTCACTGATTCATTAAAAAATCATCCATAATGAAGGATGGACATTGGTACTAAATAGGTAGTTCCTGGTAGATTGCTATGTCTCAATGGTGGATATCTATAGTATCAGACTAAAGGGAATGTCCAATCTTCCATCTAGTAATAATTATAACCGCCTTCACATTTAACAAATGAATTCTTACGACCTAATAATCAAAATAGATAGTAATTTGTGGGTAATATCAGTCACAGATTGATTGTTGAAATTCAGACACGTCGAGAATTTAGACTGATCTTTGATGAATGTAACCTATGAAAACAAATCTACATAAAAACCCTTTGATTAATAATTTTAAATTAAAAGATGGGATACATTCGTCAATAAAATACTGAAATCTTCATAATATACGTCTGTTTCTGTTTAAGATGGTATACACGTCATTCTGACTCTATAAAATGTTACATTTAAATCGCTTCTAGAGTATACTAGTAAACATCAGTATGCATGCCTAATATCACACAAGGTTAAGTCAAGGACCCATAGATCTTGAAACAAAGAAAAATATATTGAGATCATGATGTCAATAATCACTGTTTCACAATCACAAATTTAGTTTTCGCTGAATATCACTTGATAGTACTTTAATACGACCAGTACTCTCTGTCTTACTACTGAGATAATTAGTCTCCACCGATCATGATATCTCACTTAAAATCTTTGAAATCCGTAGTTAAAACACTAACAAGGCGAGGAAACTACCAATTCAACTTTCTGAATATCTGTCAGTGTGCTTTACTGGTGTGATGAAACAACTATACAGTATATCATATTGCCAAGAAGCTTGAGGAGGCCAAATAAATGCAGGGTATAAGTTTACACAGTCATTGAATGCTGGTCTGAGCTGCATAGGTATATCTAGGTTACTCGGTTGAGGTCCATATGAAACCCGCAATCAGTCGTTGGAGATGACATATGACATGGGTTAAAAATCAGTCACATCGGTGCAAATAGATTCACGCTTTAACTTCCTCCGAATCTTCAGTTTCAGTTTCCCTTCATCTCGAACTATATTCTCAGAGCTTAGTTTTTCTCATTATCATTACTACAACCTTTTTTTATATATATGTTACTTTGATTCGTTTACTATTCATACTACAAAATTAATCTTGTTGTCATCTAGTTGGGACAACGCATATTTGTTCCAGGCTCTAAACTGATCAGAGCAGATTTTATCCTTAACATTATCTTTCATTATCATGGTGAATTAAATAAAAATATGTTTTCATAATTAATATCGAATGGTTTCTTTCTTTAGTTACATTATATAATCAATCTCTCTCCCCCTCGTACTCTCATTCTCTAAGAAAAAAAAACACAACAACAAATGATCAAAGAGTCCAACAATAAAAACACGAATACATAATCTACACTATTTTTTCTCTTTCTATTAACATGGGTAACTTGTTGTCATTGTTGCTTGATTGTCATTTTTCATGCATCTATACCAACCATAAAAATCAAAAGATAATCAAATACTTTGATATTCTTCTTGATCTTGCTTCAATGAATATGGTTTCTCTTTCTGACTCGTTTTCTTTTTTGTTTATTTTAGAATTTATTCCACTGTTTGATTCTCATAGATATATGATTTCTCCTTTGTAAGACAAAACAAACCACGATATCTATGAATGTAAACAAGTATGTGTGCATGTTTGTGTGTATGTGCGTAGGCGTGATTTTATTGTTACCACTGCTTCTATCTTCCATGTTTCTTATCAGTGACTGATTGGATGGATTGTTAATAAATAATTGTTCAACTATTAATATTTTTTATTAAAAGAATTTCAGTTCTTTTACTTTTAACAAAATAAAGTCAAAGAGATAACGGAAATTTCACTCTATTTCATTGTCGTCATTGTGGTTGTTGAACAAACTTTGTTCAATCATGCATAAATCAGAAAGTATCGAAGCAATCTGTATGTGTGTACATCAATGTGTGCGTGCGTGTGTACGTGAGTACACAGTTTGGAAAACACTGTACACGAGATGGAAAAGCGTAAAGAAAAAAAAACAAAGCTTGGAAATATTGTTTTACAAAAAAAGTACAAATGGGGAGCAAAAGGTCTTCAGTTTATTTACAAGATTAAAATGAGAACAATTTTTATTCTTCCTTAAAATTGTAGTCAACTATCTAAACAAAAACGTTACTTGAGAATCGATGCATATATGATGTAATGTATGGACGTATTTTTACCGTACTATACAACACAAGCTTACATAATTCCCATTTAGGCATTCAAAACATAAAATTCAATGAAAGTAAATTTGTTATCAAACTGTACAACAATGTATCTAGATGAAATATCAAGTGCTAATTCCTTCAGATATGATGATTCAATATATACATACTCACGACTGTAAAGTTTCATAATAAACTCGTCCATACTGTTTAAAATTTGTACCACATGTACAATTTCATTCATTAACTGTTATTAAATATTTTACGGTTACTAAATTACCAGGAATTAATTATCGACCTGTCGCTTAAGTTTACATCACTTACAACCACGTTGTCATATATACTCACATTCTGATTCTATATTTGTGATGTGTTGTAGTCAGATAATTTACATGTGTAGAACTGTGAGTTTTTGATTCATGACAATATTACAATAATAGAAGATAAGTCTGCTTATTGCTTTCTAATTTTTTGATTGACAACTGGGAATAAAAGAAGCTTCTTGAACCGATAGGAGTTCGTGACCCCAGTTATTGTTCAAGATCATTTGTATCATTGATTATATAGAAATTCATTGACGTCTTTTAAAACAAAGTAAACTATTCATCAGCAAACATGATAATCGAATGATTCCATTTTTAAGAAGTAATATTAAGAGCGGAATTTATGACAGAAAAATGATGCGATAAATAATTTATAAATTGGGATTTAACACTTCTTAAGTTCTTGAATATCTGGTATGAAGCCCTGGTGTGGTGAATTAAACTACTTCATATTTGAAATGGATATTCATCAAAGGCATTGTGAAATTGTTTTTCCAAGTCAAGAATTGATTAGTTTCTGACACATTAATCTATGTAAAACGCATTATCTTAAAGATCTTAAGTTTTTGATTTTGACCTATAATGTATATATTGATGAAAACAGTACTAATAAGTCATATACTATAAAGGAATAGCTATTCGAAAATATTATGTGACAGATTTTGAGTATTACTGATCAGTTAATAGTAGTATAAAATGTTATGAATTGGAATGATATAATGAAAATAAATGAAGAGAATATGAATACAACAATAAAACAGAAGCAAAAAAAGAATATGGAAAAAATAAAAAAAGAGACTAATAATTAGTAATATTAGAAATTAGTTATACAACATCAACACTGGAATTCAGATACACTCAATTGTGACATATTCAAAACAGGTCGAAACGTACATGCTTAGTTCTACTTAGAACGATTAGCTAAATATACCAAGTGGTGATGATTTATTTTTTTGCCCTACAAAACTACCATATTACAATTAGCCTATCCTAAATCAAGATGGTAGATAGAACGATGATCTTTTCATCATTGATTAGTTTTGGAAATATTAACTTACATTACAAGTCACTTAATATATTCTTCTACAACTACTTTAAAACTGTGTTATTTTTTTTATTTTTAATTTATTAACAGGTTAAAATATGGTTTCAAAATAGGCGTTCAAAATTTAAAAAATTAATCAATCAAGGTCATGATGTATCCCTTTTAACAAATTCATTATCATGTAAATCAGAAACAAGTGAATTAAATAATCAAATAGAGGTAAGAATTATGAATAATTGTACAGGAGGGTTTTAAATCAATAAATGAACTTTTTAGACAACTGAATAAATAAAATTGATTTTTTATTGTTTATTACGATTTTATTATTTATTGCCTAGGAGTCTTTGAAAACCTATCCATCCTGTGCAAGTTGCTTTGATATGTCATTAATTAGCAAGCACTATAAATTAAATTTCGAATAGTAACTATAATTGGAATCTAAGATGCATGTTTTGTTCTTTTCTGAATTCATCAGCTGGATATACCAGCCAGTGGTTATCTGTACTCAATAGCTAATTGGGGTGAAGGTATTGAGTTCAAATCTGAGAGTGAACATTAGCTCTGCCATCCAAGTACACTCAGATGACATTTCGGAAATAGGACGGAACGCGCGTCCTGGATTCCATTGTTAGCCACCATCCAATATGGGACAAGTAAAATCAAGTAATTTGATTAAATAGCAATCACTAGCATATACATTCATGCAAACTAGTTTAAATATTCGAACGACTAAACACTTTACACGTGAAGAATTTTATTCCATAAATTTTGGAGTGTTACTATAGATAAATTATTATGTGACAATAATACTATTAACTTTCATATCTTCGAACTATGTAAAAGTGATTTTTATCAGCATTAAGGTTTTGTAATGATTTTACTTACAGCACTTTAGTAAACCTAAATGCACTGGACAGCCATTTCGTCCTAATATGGGACTCCTTTGTAGTGCGCATCCATGACCTTGTGCGAAATCTTGAATTGATTGAAGTTAGACATTAATACCATTGAATGCCAGATCAGTAGTCTACAGGTCGTGTTTTTTTCATGGGATTTAAGGTCCTAGGTTCGATCCTCTGTGGATCTCCATTTGTGAGTCATTTTCTGGACGAAATGGTTCTCCAGTTCTCTCAGGTTTATTAATGTTTGTCTTAGACGAGTTCGTGATGTAAAATTATCATTAAAAATGATCCTTATTTCTATCACAATAACTTAGTTTGCACATTCGTCTGTGGTACATAAGTATGTATGACAACTCGAGAGATGAAACTAAAACATTTAAGGTCTTATAGTCATTAAATTTGCAATTCTCAACACATAAGTTCATTCAATCAGCCTAACGATTAATTGTGAATGTTAAGATTTGATGGTCACTTATAAAATCACAGGAATTTCTTTTGGAAATATTTTGAAGAAAACTACATTTAGTTCAGATGAATTAGGTACAAATTATTGTATTCTGTTTCGAGTTACCTTATTCATGGGGCCTAATGATACTACCCAGTTCCCCAAATGGAGTGAGTGGAAAGGGGTTCGAACCGGAGACTTAGCTGGATACCTTAACTACTAAACCTCCGATTCAAGAAGTAAAAATATTCTGACCCACAAGAGCTGCTGAAGTAATAACATCAAAACATAGTGCACGAGATATCCAGTCCTTTAGACTGGTAACCATGTCAGATGAAGCCGGTGTGCGATTTAAAGTGGAACGATTTCTGTGTAGGATTAAGCTGAACAAATCAATTCTCAGCCAACTAGAAACACTAAACAATGTAAAATTAGTTTACCATCAGTGGGTGATTTTTGGATTTTATTTAGTTAAGCGTCATATCAACTGGTTAGTTACTTAGTTACAACTAGAATAACTCTGTAAAGAAACAAAATAGCTTGGAACAAATAAAGCATTTGTAAACACAAAAGATAAATATCAGCTCATAAAAATATCTTTGTTAAGACAGTTACATTACCGTGATATTGTTATTTAGTTGACTGTAAGATTCATGACGCTTGTTTAATTATGCTTGGGACTCTTCATCTGGATGTAGTTTTTTGACAAGCCACTGGCTATCTGAACTCAATAACTCAAATTATAGTGTGTTAATACTTGAAATGATGATCGCTGAGGTTGGATTTCGGTGTGGAAACCAACACTAAGGTTCCTGTATATTCGTCCAACAAGTCCCAGTTCGGATGAAACGTGCGGAACGAACTCCACAGCTAGCTGTAATCCAACAAAACTTTCATGATGTTGAGTAACTGAGCTCAAAAATCTACAACCGCTATATACCAATTAACTCAAAATCTAGGATAGTCACTTACTCTTACTGATTGTCGCCATTCATCTAACAATATTCAAACATAATATTTTGAAAATTCTCCCTCCGCTGCTTACTCTAATTTATTCTAGAATATTTATGAAGATTGTCATGATCTCTTAATGAAAACTATGCCATCTGAAACTGATATTCCCATCAATTCAGATGATATACCGATTGACTCTTCATCTGGATTTGAAAATGGTCATTCGAATAGTAACTCAAACAGTCCAATCACTCAGTCAATAATTAGTTCACCTGAAACTAATCTCAATAAACATATTACTAATACTAATAACAATAATAATTATGTTAAATTGGATTTACAGCCTAATAATTTCGTAAAATATGAAATCACATCGTCAGGTAATTTATGTTATCAAACATGGTCAACAGATATAAAAGATGATTACAGTATTTCTATTGATGGTCAAACAGTTCAAAATCAAGTAAAATTCAATGATTCAATACAATGTAATAATTATTTAAATCAAAATTTTTACTCCTCAACTAATACTGATCAAATAAATCTGTTGGATGCATTACCGAGACCATATTATTGGACAAAATCATTGTTTGAATCATCATCGTCATCTAATTATTGGTTACCGATGTCAACAAGTAATCAATGTTCACATTTTAATCCAAAATCGTATTCAACTCCAAGATGCGACGATGATGATAACGATGAAGATGATGATGATGATGATGATGATGATGATGATGACAACAATGATGAAGATGATGATGAACATGAAAACAGTGAATTAGAACATGATACGAGTAATGACATTAATAATAATACACATGATACATGGACTTTTAATAGATCCAATGATTATAGCCATTTAAATTCAACAACAACTAAGGATAGATTAAAAAATTCTGAAATAATTTATCCCAAATCACCATCACAAACTTCTTCATATCAAGAATGGAGAAAATACTGTTTAAATAACGAATCAAATCAATTGGTTTATAAATATGAACAAGGTAATTCACCAAAAACATCTCAAGATCCATTCAATTACAATTTTCATTCCTCTTGCTCACAAACATTACCTGCAATACCACCGATACCTTCAGCGTTAATATCATCAGCTGAAACACAACAATCACCATGGTCTTTTATAGAATCAATCTGTGTACAACAACAACACCAACAACAAGAAACTGACGAAAATGAAAATGAACTAAACCCCAAAAACTCTGTCATTATTACAAATCACAATTTCACCAAAATATCTGATACTCATAAAAACACTATTATTCCATTAACAAGTGAATATCAATTTAAAAGGCAACAAGAACCACAATTTCCTGATCCATGTGAACATACAGCATTAACATCAACAATAACATCTGTAATGGCTGATTCAACATCACCGTCATCATCATTATCATTATCATCATCGTCATCATCATCATTACATAACAACACATTGTACATTTAGATATCGAAAAAAAGCTTCACTGATGAATGTCGACAAGTGACGAAATACCAGTCATTATTGTTCATTCATTTCTATAAATACAAATACATAATAATATTTATTGATACATAAAAATAAGATGATTCTATACGTTTCACATAATAAGTCAAATACAATCATTAGTATTGTTAGTCAATTATTATTTGAACTACCTCGAAAAATACTATTATTCTTACCAATACGAGTATATTGTTCAATTTTCAGTTGACTCGGAGATTATTAAAACAAAATTAGTCAAAGTAAGGAAATACTACTGAATAATTTAATCTATAAATAGTGTATATTCTACTGTTAAATTGATGTAATTAGTAACGGTTAAAGAAAAAATAAATAAACAAAGGGATTCACCACACAAAGAAAAGTGAGAAACATGTTCAATATAAATTAATGTTTAAATAGTATTCAGGATCAATGCAAAATACTTGTCATTTTGATACATAACTTACTATGAATATACAATCACAATTACATCATGATCACGATCACGATCATCATCTGTATCGGCTTGTATACTGTTTGTTTCATTTGTACAAGGAATTTGAAAATTGTTGTTTACTCTGTTACTTTACAAAATTATCACTTTTAAACAATATCACTTAATTCCTTTCTATATACATATATAATACAACAATCCTTATTTATTTATCCATTCTAGTAGTGTAAAGAGATTATGCATCTTTACACAAAATGGCTTATTTTCAAATGAGTCAATAGTGAGTAGTTCAGTAAGCTACAATATGCATGAAAGTTGTTTAGTTTGAAGGATATCCAAAGATAATTGAATAGCTATTTTCGGCAACACCATAATTTATGGACGAATCAATCACGTATAAGATAACAGGTCTCGGATTTTGGCACGAGATTCACTCATCCATTTGGATAAATAAAGTTTTGAAATTATAGCTGATGTCAATTCGTGATGAAAACCCGAAATCTAATTCATAATCTTAATCATCAACTGTAGATTATAATTATAATTCCTCACACAAGTTCATAACCTTCGTTTGATCCTGGTTATTAGGTGGACAATCTCAAAGTCAGTCTAGAGTCGCTCAAAGGTCGTCGGTAGTGAGTATTCCTCATTTTAGTTCTCACAGATTATATAACGAGTCATCAAATCTTTGATAGAATGTTAAGATTGGTTTGAAGATGATATTGAGTCACTTAGACTGGTGAACAGATTTCATCTCGATCAATAGAATATGGTCAATACTAAAAATTAAACAAACACGCCAGTAGCCAGTATTTTAAGGTCAATTAATATAAATGTAAAGCATTAGAGTAAAACTTGGTAATGTAACACGCTCAAATTAAGATCAAATTGTTTATGAGATCAACCATGTGTTGAGTTTTTACACGTGAAACATTTCAGAAAATAGGTTGAAATAGACGTCCAGAACACCCTGGTGTCCAACCAATTATCAAGCAACACATCGAAAAATGTTGTAAATTATGCCCAAACCCAGAACTATGTTATTCTACTAACAGTCATATCAAAACATGGTTGACAGATGAGGAAATAAAGTTTACAGTGGCGTTTTCACATTTTAATAACATAAAATGTAAATGGAGTTGAAAATATAGAATGTTTGGCAGATATCTAAAGTTAATGAACGTGTATAAACGATAGCAGAATCGACTAACAAATGTTACACCAATAAATAAATGATGGACACTGAACTAATGGCTAAGCCATATCCGTCAGACTTGAAATCTCCTGAGTCTACCCTTTGACAAGATCTTGAGTGTGCATTGCTGAAGAGTTTCATATCGGGATGAAACGGATAAGCACAAAGCTCCCTGATTTTCATTAATCTTTAACCTGTGACTAGTATCACTAAAACTTATGGCTGACTTTGACAAAATCTCAGTTTCTTTTTCGTCATTTACCGAAACAATGAAATCAAGAAACCTGTTTCAGTAAATTTAATACATCCAATTATTTATTTCTATTTGCTTGTTGGGAGTTTGTGTCAGTAATTCAATCGAATCCATAAAAATGCTTACTTATACATATGCTTGTCATATAACACTCTGAATCTAATCATATACCTTCCTGTCATATTCTATATTTGTAATGAATACTTAAGTCTGATTGAAACTCTATAATCATATAGTCGCCATGACGTCTAGTAGGCTTATCTTATTTCTATTGACATTCCACCAGATAATTGTCACTTTTGAAGACAATGAATGGATCGTTGGATGAGCACATGTATGAAAGCACTAATCTTGTAATATGTGACATTTCTTGTTCTAAACTATCTTTGCATCAATTAACACTAATTTATTTACTCAAATAAGTATAGGTAGTTATCATGTCATTATCCCGTTTACCTTGTGTTTCATGCTAACTGGAACTCGTAAACAAGATATAACGACAATCGTGAGAAAACTGATGCCACCTGTGGAATTTGAGTTCACATCACACCAAGTAAGTTGAGGTCTCAGTATCTCAATAATGACATGTGAGCCTGAATAATGATAGGAATTTGAATCCAAGAGAATACATAAGACCCACCAAGATTCCAGGTGCCTCTTACTTATAAGTCCCAAGTAGAACAAAGCTTATGCAAAATAGAGTTCCTTATCGACTACCTTCGGTCACATAATGAACGAGATTTTCAATTGCTTAAACTGATGGCGACATCTCAACTTTATTGACAGAATTCGATCAAACAAGGCAGTGGCCACTACCCAGTGATCAATCACTGTAGATTAGAACAAAACACTAACTGTCCGTTTTTAGAACCAACATTGTACATTTCAAATAGTTATCTATCTTTGTTTGTTTCAATATATCATTATGTCTATTAATCACATAACCTATTCTGCTGCGTTTCTGAAAAGTGTACAACCTTTCGTAGTCAAAGTTACAAAAAGCTCAATAAGAGAGAATGTGGTTGCTGGCACTATACAACGAAAAGAATGTACATTATTCAGATGTTCATTTACTGGACTGCTAACATCTAACTGTCGATCACCCAATATATATGGCCAGGACCGACCAAGAAGAAAGAAACGGAAACTTGTTGAAATACTTTACGCTGAGAATTCTATATTGTACCAAAAATATAATATTGAATAAAGCTAATAATAATAATAATAATAATAATGCATGATCAAAACTTATATTTTTTACGGTAGGTTTTGTATACACTCGACAGTTCATTCAATCATTATCGTGTAAACGAACAAGCTAAAAATAAAGAGATATCTTTAAATTCAATATATGAATCAAACTAAATTTAAATTTATCATCAGCTCCCTAGTTTATTGCTGTAATAAACTGAAAAAAATAGGTCATTACTTTTAGATATAACCAAGTCATATTTGAGTATTGATCATAAATTCCCTATTTATTTTTATATTACTGTTTAAACTACTTGTTAGTAGGTCAAGTCTTATGACGAAATTTTCAGGGTGTGACTCATTGAAAAAATTAAGTCAGTATTAAGTTAATGTATTTACCATAAAATTCAATCATTACAAGCATATAAATATAAAGATATCGCTCAAAAAATAACAAACAAGCGAAAAAAGGCAGATTTTATACAGATAGTTCTTGGTTAAAATATTCAATTAATTTATCCAGATTATAATTTTCCAATAGTTTAAATAAATCATTCTTTCTATAGCTTACATCTTTCCCTTGAAAACGATATTTATCAATGTAGAGACCGACAATACACTCTAAAAGTTTAACAAAAAAACAGGTAGTTTTCGTTTGAAAAGTAACAAAGTATCATTTAAAAGAAAATTATTTCATTCGACTATGTTACTGATATGTGAGCGAGAATGATAATGATTGATTGTTTGATTTGTCCGATTAGTAGATAGTCTGACAAGTGTTAGATGAATTATATATTCCCCTATCGTTATCATTACTTATTATTGATTGCTGTTGGGTTGTGTTGGCTTGTTGTTGCTTTTTCGTGTGGAAATATATTTACGTTCTAGTTAGGCTAATCACGTGTTCTTGATCTGAGTTGTGTTGAAGTCCTGTAGAATAGACACTGAGGGGAAGTCTAGTGTTGATACTCGTCTAAAGCAAATTAACGTCCCATTCATGTATACAAGGAAAACCGAGCGTTATAACAGTTACGCATAAACATAGGCAGTTTTTCCCTTATTAATAAGAAATCTTTTCTATTACATAAGATTACATTCATTATGATTAAAAACAGCAAGCAGACAGTGTTGTGTCTCTAAATGCAGCTTTTTATCACGGGACTTATTCGCCAATCGAAATATGACTTATTCACTCTTGTACTGTACGAAACCAATGAGGTTCGACCGGTCTGATCAGCCTAGCATCTTTACTGGTCCTTTGTTCGCCTAGCCCGTCCACTCGAATCCAGAGCACCAATAGCAAGTTCCACTATACGAATCATTTATTTCAAATATATTCAGTTTATATACCAGCCAAACAGACTACATCACATCATAAAATGGGAAATAACATTTATCAGTATAGGGTTGTAGAGATTATCAAGTTTTTGATTGAGATCATGAACCGATTGATATCAAACCATCATGAAAAATCTGGAAACACTATAAGGCTGTTTCGTCCTATTACGGGACTCCACGATCTCGCTCTCGGGATTCGAACCCAGGGCCTTCAATCTCGAGCGCGAACGCTTAATCTCTAGACCACTGAGTCGGCATCCAGCGGTGTTAATGTCTAACCTCAATCAATCCGCGAAATTGCGCGACCATCTTCCATTGTACTGAGGTAGATACCTGTCTCTACCCGACACGGATTAGCTCCACTGGTCAAGGATAAGAGGAATACGAATATGAATAGTTTAGTTATTTAATAATTATACAATAAAAATATACGCATAGTATTGTTCCATAAATGGATCCCCAAAATTACCATTCATTATTCTTATCAGGACATAACATATTATTATAGAAAATATCTTACCATAATATCTATTTAATTGACATGATTGATATTTGAATTCTTGTTTTAATTTATTTGAATCTCTCCATATTTGTACATATTCTAATGGTAAATAATCTGGTGGTAATGGATTATCATTTGGAGTAATTTGTTTAAATAAACAATTATCTCTATTGTTAGATTGAATTTCATTTGAAATTAACTCTGTTATTGGTTTGATTAATTTCACTTTCTTTTCTAATTCATTAAGATAAACTAGTTTGGTATCAATCATTCTTAACACATATTCTATACTATCCATTTGAATATCTAAAATAAGTTGAAATAAAAGAATGTTTCATGAGGATCAAATTTTTAACGTACTTTTATAATCAGTAGTATAAGTCAGATGTTCATCTGTCTTTCGAAAGAAAATTATACCGTATATATATTCACTCTGATCAACTTCGAGATCAACAGGTTGGATTCTGTAAGGATCGGTTGTGCACAGACCAAATTGCGACACTACGGATCATCGACGAACAATCAGTTGAGTAGAACTTGTCACTATACATCAACTTCATTGACTATAAGAAGGCGTTTGACAGTGTGGACAAGAGAAGATTATGGAAACTTCTTTGACACTATGGAGTTCCTGAGAAGATTGTCAACATAATCTGGAACTCATACGACGGACTACAGTGCAAAGTCGTGCATGGAGGACAGCTGACAGATGCATTCCAAGTAAGGACCGGAGTCAGACAAGGTTGTCTACTCTCCACTCCCTCTTCTTTCTGGTAGTTGACTGAATTATGAAGACATCGATATCTAAGGGAAAGCATGCAATTCAATGGACAGGTCGAAATCAATTAGAAGATTTAGACTTCGCAGGTGACCTTGCCCTTCTATCTCATACACACCAACAAATGCAGATGAGGACAACTAGTTTAGCGACAGTCTCTGCAACAGTAGGCCTCAGTATAAACAGAAAAAGTCTAGTTCCTCGAATACAACACGGAGAACACCAACATAATCACACTTGATGGAGAAACTCTGGAAGATGTGGAATCCTTCATGTACCTGGGAAGCATCATCGATGAACGTAGAGGATCGGATACAGACATTAGGGCGAAGATTATCAAGACAAGGACAGCATTCCTATAATTAAAGACTATATGGAACTCAAAACAACTGTCAACCAATTTCAAAGTGAGAATTTTCAATACGAACATAAAGACGGTCCTACCGTACGGAGCTGAAACTTGGAAAACTACTACAACCATCATCAAAAAGGTACAAGTATTTATAATTAGTTGTCTACGCAAGATACTCAACATCCATTGGCTGGATACCATTAGCAACAGCCTACTATGGGAAAGAACAAATCAGCTTCCAACTGACGAGGAAATTAGGAAAAGACAATGGAAATGGATGGGACATACATTGAGGAAATCACCAAACTGCATCACGATCCAAGCTCTGACTTGGTATCCTGAAGGGAAACGGAAAAGACGAAGGCCGAAGAACGCACTACGTCGGGAAATGGAATCAGATACGAAAAAGGATGAATAACAACTAGAAAGGATTGCCCAGGAGAGGGTTCGATGGAGAGTGATGGTCGGCGGCCTATGCTCCTCCACGCGAGATAACAGGCGAATGTAAGTGAATAAGTAAGTATATTCACTCTGCATAACTACATGGTTGTGAAACGTAATCAATGAAGATAAGAAGCAACGATGCTTAAGTTACTAATCATCAATTTTAGATATCTTTGATGTATATCCCACATATATTCAAACTTTTGAGTTAGTAATACTGAGGTTAGGAGTGCGTTATTAATAAAAATCATAAACTCTTTGATAAAGTGAAAACTTTTATCGACTCAGATTGCTAAGTCATATGCTATGTATGTCTCAGCCACTGCCTAGCCATATATTTAAGTTTGTTTGAATAACAGTAGAAATCGTGATGGCCAAAACCGTGTCGATAGGCGTAGTCTTTCTGGTTGAGGCTTATGTTTGGAGACTTTAAGTGATATAGTTGAAAATAGATCACAGTAACTTAGCCATTTTTCTTAAGATATACATTTCCCAATCTTCTACTCTAGAATTATTTTATGCTTCTTACTACTGCAAACTGTGCTCATTGTCAGTGGGATTTTTTTACCACCATTTTTACTATTATTACACAGACTGCTATAAATTTAATTGTGTTAATGTTTTATACTTATTCTGATAAGAAATATACCCACTTTTGTTCATTTGTCACATTTATTGCAAGTTGTACTCTATCTATAACAATTTGATCTTAGTTAAAAAAAAGAAAATTAAGAGACACCATGAAACTTGTTTCATTTTACATCAAGATTGCATTGAGAATAACTTAATAAAAGTAGTATTTTCAATAGTTGAAATCATGAGTCGATTAAAGCTAGACCACCATGGAAAACCTGGAAGCACTGGACGGCCGTTTCGTCCTAGTATGGGACTCTTTAGCAGCGCGCATCCACGATACTGTCACCCGAGAGCTCCGAACCCAGGACCTATTAGTCTCGCGCCCGAGCGCCTAACCATTAGACCACTGAGTCGGTATCCTGCGGTGTTAATGTCTAAATTCAACTAATCCAAGAATTTGAGAGACACATCCACCATTGTCTTCAGAGAGTTACTATCTCACAACAGACCCAGTTGATATTCACTGGTAACGGCTTCTCAGTAGAACTCCAGGAAATGCCTCTTGAAGCCAGTCACTAGTGAGCAGATGGTTATTATCAGAAGGGGTTTTATGGCGACTTTAGAAATTTCAATAGTTGAAATCATGAGTCAATTGAAGCTAGACCACCATGGAAAAGTAGTATTGTTAAATAAACTACACGAAATACAATCCAGTAGTAGTAAATGTATGAAAACAAGATGCAAATAAAGAATGAATCTAAATAGTATTGCTTAACACGATGTCATTTGAAGCGAATCCCAGAATAAACGTTGACTCTGGGATGCAGGTGTTCCCAGATGACTAGTGCTAAATAAAACGAAACGCGCGTTCTAGATTCTACTAGTAGCCATCATCCACCTCTGCTTATAATTTTTAATGATTGTTTTATAGATTTTAACCTGAAATTCCACAATTTCTCAAACAGCTAACTCCTGTTTTTAGTATGACTGCCTTTAACCCTTTTTCGCATATTAGTCACCGTAACGCAATTATGGATTTTCTTTGTTTATGCATTTCCTAATACGATTTACTATATATCCCAAAATTACCGAAATCACAATTGATATTCTAATTCCGTTCTTAAAACTGCACAGAACACTGGGAAAGTACCTCACACCACCCAGTATTATTTTTCCTCTAAAACTCCTACGATAATATGCATAAAATACAAAACAATAATGTACCGTACGTAATAAATTATACTATAAACAAAACTAGAAGATTCACGGTACAATTGTAAATAACAGGTTTATAACTTACTAACAGTAATATATGAACGTAAAGAAATGTAACAACTATTAGGGAGTTAAATGGTAGCTTATAATTAACGAGATGGGAAATATCAAAATAACAATAACTACTCCTTTATTAAAAACGTCTGCGGTCAACCAATATTTAATACACATGTAATGTTCATCGTTTCCAAACGTTTTTCCGTTCTCCTAATGGGTAAGTACTGCATTTAGGAACATAAATTTCATTTGGGAACTTCATTTGAACCACCTAAAGCTATCTGCATATTTCCCCACTATGAATACGCCACTGAAGTGCATCCCAACTTACCGGATGAAAAAAAACAAATTAGAGCATGAAGCGAAATCTTCAGTGGAAATTATGCTCTTATATGCAGTATTCGCCGACCAAGTGAACGGAAAAATGTGCAAAAATACTTGATACTCTGAACATATTGGATATTGTAAAACGAATAAACTACAAATTTGCCGATGAATATAAAAATAAAAATTGTATATACTGCTTCATGGTGAAGAATAACTTTCAAAGTTTCTCATTTCTACTCCTCATCTCAGTTAAAACAAATGCATCAGTCAATATGTGTCTCCATTACTCCGTAAGGTTATGTTATGTCTAATTCATACTGGATACCGACTAAGTATTTCGGGAATTAAGCTTTCAACAAGAGACCTGATGTTCCTGGATTCCATCTCAGGTGGGATCAAGGATGATCACTATCACAGAGGAATCCTAGACTAAGACAAAACAGCTGCAGACATATATGTGGAATACATGATGGCTCCCAAAACTGTCGCGTTATATCCAGGAACTGAATAAAGTTCATAACTTAGCTCATAGAATTACAATACAGTGGTCTACGTGCAACAAACTTGTTGAAATATCCATAAGTCACTAATCTGATTGCCAAGAGGATTGAACTTCTAAAAAGTTCCAAATAATGAGTTAAGAAAAACTCTTCAGTGTTGTATGATCCTTGCTAATTTCCCGTCTACAATCCGTTTCACTTGCTACAAATTAAATTCGTATGCATCATAACAATAGTAAACTATTGTTGAGTGGTTTTAAGAAAGATATGTTAAGTTCCAAACGTGATACATTTTGATTTGTGAATAAGTAAGACTTCATTCCAAATATTAGATCTCTGCAACTATGGAATAACGACCAGTACTAAATGATACGAAAACTTCATATGTTCATGGAACACAATAATCTAGGAGATTTCACTAATCAGTTATTTGAAATTTATATTGAATTTAATACGATATTCATTGCTTACTTTCAAGACTTTCTATCAGTAGCGATAACATTATGTACACTAATGATATAAAAATCTTCGTTTTCTATGAAAAGGAACTATGTGAAGTGATTGAAATGACAAGAAATCAATTAAAGTTCACGAATGTTTCTAGTAAGAGACATGTGCTACATTGTTATTAAACAGTTGATACAACTTGACTACTTATATATTAGACAAGTAGTTTAAACTTCTTACAAAAATTATTTTAACATAACTACAACTTTTTATAGTTATACCGACTAACTTATCACTGAATGATTGAGTACAAGTCGGTTCAACTTCTAAATTTGATAACAAGATAATGAAGAGTACCTAAGTTAATTGATAATTGAATTTTCTTTCTAGTAGCTTCTTTAGTTAAGACATCTTTCAATATAGCAATTGTAGAGAGATTGTCCGATTGGAGATTAGCATAACCTTTTGCATAAACGCATTTCAATTGACTTTTAAGATAAATTGATTTATAGAACAGTCGCGCAGATTCTTCACTATCGTGATTGTCATTTTTATCACCTTGTTTTGTATCCGAATTAATTATTGTGGGCCTTTCAGGGGTTTCAGGTAAGCACATAGATAACCAATTATGCATTTCCGTTAAAGAGAAATTTCCAGTTAGTTGTAAACTGTTCCAATATCTATTTACGACATAAAAATAAGAAAAAAAAACCTTAGGTTTCTCATATTGACAAAATTAGGATCAGATTATGTGTGTACACTAAATTGAATCGATAAACAATATGAATAGCTCATTGGAAAAACTAGGGAGTGTTGAATAGACCGTTTAGCCAAACTTCCCTATATATGTGGATCATTGATACACTAATCGACTGCTCAAAATCGAAACAAGAAATAGAGGAAAGCTCAAACTATATAATCTATTAGTTAAAACCTATTTAACTAGTCGTCACTACATATTATATTAAATCACATTGTCAAAATATCCTGTTAACAAATAAATTCATGCTTCACTAGTAAATCAACTATTATATGACTGGTAGATGTGTAGTCTCATTGTTTGTTTGGTAATATTCATTTTCGACTTTGGTCAACATTTTGACATTTAACCATAAGTATAAAAATCAGAGATTGAATTCTTGAAAGTGTAAATTCAGTCAGTTGGTCAGTGATTATTTTTCTCTGGAATTTTAAGTCAACATGAAACTTGGAGGGTTAATTCCGTGAATAAGCAAATCCATTCAACTACATCGATCATCCCTGTAATACAGTAAACTCACCTTTTTAACGGTTCATCTTCTATATGATGAGTTAAACAATGTAATGATAATGGATGTATTAATAGCTTAATACATTTACATGTAACCATAATTGATAAATTTATTTTTGGTACTACATACACAGATACATGACCGTAATGACCTTCAACCGTACGAAATTGAATGTCAAACCGTGTTGTATTCACTTGGCACCGATACGTTGTCAATAATGCATTCCCGTCCTAATCAAAATCAAGTAGAAGAGAATGAATGTGTAGTTAAAAATATAAATCAACATTTTAAGTGATTGGTCAGTGATATTGTGCATGCCAGTTATGCTGACAGATATACGTAGTGTGTAGCATCAGTCGGGAGTGTAATGTATGCGAGCAGAAGGTCGAGAAGATTAAAATGAAGAGAAAGAAACTGAAAGTAATCATGATAACAACAGGAATAAAGGAACAATGAAGCATGTTAGAGACAATTCGAAGATGTGCAAATGATGTATTTGATGTATAATTTTCACATTTTAGTAAACCACTGTGTGAGTGAACATTGAACAATAAATCGGTCTTCCCCATCTGAGTGTTCATTCACTGCATTTCATGTAGCTGCCAAATAAGAGGCGGAAAGGGTGAGATTCTGCGGATAGTTGAGGTGGTCTGGTGCAGAAACGTGACATCGATAAGAGTGTTCTGTCGGGTTGGCGTCGGCTGTAGCAGCCGCCGTTGGCGGAGAGGAGTAAGCTGCCGGTCTCTGGGTGGACATCGAATTTAGATGGCCTTGCAGGTTGACATTGCTACGGAGGTCAAAGCGACGGCAGATTCGACGTTTCGACGGAGAGTGTGGCACAAGCTGTGGGGAAGAAGGAAGCGGCATAAGGAGCAGAATGTCCGCAAGGATGACTTACGTTTAAAGGGAGGACGAGTGTAGTGCCAGCTATGTTATGTTGATAGATATATGGAGTATGTAAAACGAAAGTGAAATGCATGTCTACAGAAGATTGGGAGGATTCAACTCAAGAAAACAGAAAATAATCGTGGTAACAACAGAATTGAAAGAATCACGATTCATGTAAACAATAACAGATGGAAGATGTGCAAATTATGTATTTAACATATTGTTTTCATATTTTATGAAAGCATTCTGTAATTTTGTAATAAACAATAAATTAATCTTCCCCGCCTGAGTGTTCGTTCACTTCAATATGAATATTGAACTATACTGAGTGATGGTTCGGATAGTCCTATATATATACATAGTCGTTAAGCGATTATTGTTATTCTCTTAGAGAGAGAATCGGTCGTATTTTTCCATGTTTTACCAGTATAACTTATCAAACCATAGTTTGAAATTGAATTAATTCTAAATCTATCAAACATATATTTATATAATCAGTTATCACAGATACTTTTTTTTGTTCTAAAGTTATCTATATACTACTATGTTGTTCAAACTGAAATTAAGTAGATTTCAAAATTGACACCTAGTTACTGATATGACGGGATGAAAAGTCAAAATTAGATTGATTTATTGATTATGATTTTTAGTTCAACATTAATTCCGTCTTAATTCAATGTAATCATTAGTTAGTAAAGTATTTGTTTCTGTTATCCCATATGACATTCTATTCTGTATAGCATACGATATCCTTGTATTGAATGAACATGAAATATACTCAGCATGTAACTTGTTATAACAGTAAGTATTATTCATATGTGTGATTTCATCCTACTTATTAATCAAAAAATGGGTGTATGAATCAATATATAAATGAGTGTATTTCCAACTAGTCTGGTCGTGGTTGTTTGTGCTTTTGGCTGCTTGTGGAATATATTTCCCTCTTCCTAACTTGAACTTCTCTCTCTAGTTAGCGGGGCTGAGACGCGTCAGAATAGCTAGCTTATCTGTCATTCTGTCACGGAGTCTTCGTTCGATTCTCAGATTAGATGAACTCGGAATCTCTTCAAACATATCAGTTGCATAACCATTAAAATTACTGTTTCATATTAACAAAACAAAAACCTTTAGTAATACATTGTAACACTTACATCTTTTGTACATTCACTTGAACTACTTACAGCTGTATTCTCTTCAATATCGAATAAATCAATTGGACAATTACTTTGTATTAATATATGATCAATTGGTATTTGGGTTTCTATATTTAAACAATATACAGATAGGTCTTTATTTAAATAAAATTTATAATCTAATTCTAATGGTAGTAAAATAATTTGTTCTTTTTCAATTTGTTTTTGATTCAATTTCATTAATTGTAATTGATTTTCTAAATTTGAAATTTCTTCACTTTTTTTGATAAAAAAAAAGAAAAAACAAAATTGAACATTGAACAACATTTGTGTGTTCATCATAAACATTGAACAATGAAATTAAGCGAGACTAAAATTGATGAACGAGCCAATCAGAAGCGTTTGAGGGATTTCAAGGTCATGGTGCTGATTTCAGTACCTGATGCCTACATGCGATCGTTTCACAGTGGATTTTGGAAGATATGTGATAACTGAACGGCTATAGAAAATGGGACTATTAAGAAGTTTCTTTATTTGTTATTGTGGTAATCAAATGACTTGTGGACTTTGTGCAGAATACCGTGATGATGTTGTCTTTCGATGTAATATGTGTTGGAGGAAGAAGTATGTTAGTATCTTTTCGCTCGACCCAGATTGAGACAAGACAATTGTTGCAAACTCGATAATAAAAGCACTAGTAACACTGGCTGCAGCCGGGTACTATAATATATACGGATGATTGGAGAGCGTACAGATGCCTACATACACTTGGTTATGTGCAGCGTGTCGTTATCCACAAGTGATATTTTGTGGACCCAATAACCGGAATGCACACAAACAATATTGAAGCTACGTGGTCGAAGGTGAAAAAGTTTTCGTGACCTTATCGTGGTTCGAGAGGCCGACCATTATGAATCCATATGGATGATTTCCTCTACTGCACGCATTATGATTTTAGAACCTATGAACCTCTTTCGAGCATTGACAAGTTTTTGAACCATGCAAAATAAATGTATCCACTTTAATTCTTTGGTTTTGTATAATATATTTTTACTCTATACTAACTTTTCTGATTGGCTAGTAGTCCTCAAGGTCACTTAAAGTTCCTCCAAAGGTTGTCCATAAGTTATAGTCTCACCACCATCTCCTTTTGAACACATCAGTCAGATTTTTGACGCCTAATAGCAACGGCTTCAGTAAACTTCAGAAGACTGGAGTTTGGCTGCTTACTAATCACCTTGAAAGATTGAAAGTTATGAACTTAATGCTTTATATCATGGAGATGTTTGATAATTACACTGTTTAGTCTTTCTCTCTCTTGTTCTGAGGCTTTTTGAAACATGTTCAAACACTCTAAGATGTAGCCTCCTTTTTGTTCGGCCAATGTAGCTGTTTTGACGGCGTAGACCAAACATCTCCTTGATACAGGAAATCAGGTTGATAACTTGCAATCTTTCAAGGTGATTAGTAAGCGTTCGAAATCCAGTCTTCCGAAGTTTGCTGAAGCCGTTGCTATCAGGCGTCAAAAATCTGACATGTGTTCAAAAGGAGATGGTCATTAATCTTTCCTTGCCTTGGTGAAAAATATTTCTTCGTTGCATCTTGTAATTTCTTTTTGACTCTGTCTTTCACTTATTACATCATTGAGTGTTATTTAAACTATCATTCAAGTTAGTAATCTTATTTTATCAACTAAGCTCTATTCACCATATTCCTGTCAATGTTTACTCATTATGTAATCCCTTGTTTCTGGACGTTTGAACTGTTGTCACAATCAATGTTGTGGAATGTTCTTTTATCACATAAGGTATATATTTACAATATTCGATCTATTGAATTTATTTACACCCTTGCTATACTATACTAATGTAACTTTAACGTAACTTCCAACTAAACTTTTTCATGTAAGTAATTTAAGCCCATTTTGTAATTATGCCTTAAATATCACAGGTTGTAAGCAGTTGACAAGAACAAACGAAATAAAATGAATTCATGCTATTCCGGGTCGTGAATCCTGAATCTGATATAACGCCTCATTATCGTACTGACGTATTGTCTCAGTATACCTAAGAGTCAGAAGAATATTTAATACCATCCGTTATATCAGAACCCGGTTAAAAAACACACTGGATTACCGAAAGTGACATTGAACAACATGGTTATCATCATCGAATGACCACTATTGGCTAGATGTAACAGAAATTAGCTATATAATAGACTTTTTTTATCCATTTGCGAAGCAACTCTTGTGATTTTAAAATAAGCACACCCAATTATAAACCCCTTGCAAGTCATTTCTCTAAGTAAAAATATCTACAAAATCTCTATTGCTCTAAACTACGACGGAATACCTTTAATGTCCGAGATGAAAGTGTGGGAATAACAGGAAACACAAAAGGCAACCATCACAGCAACTGGTTACTCACTTTAATTTATCCACTTTTGACATAAATTGAAGTTCCATTACGTCAGGTTGATCGAAGAATGTTTCTTTTCTGATTGGTTGTGTAGTTAAACCAAAAATCAAACCTTGAGCATGAAAATGAAGATTTTTTAATTTGACTACTATAACATTTGCAAGTAGTAGAACGTAGTACAAGAATAATTTGTAAGGTCATACTTAAATGTTTGGGATACAATTCTCTAGATTGTTACAGTAAAATAGTTCTTTCTTTTGAGGGAATCGATGGACAAAGCTGAACAAACATAAATGCACACTGTTTTACCCTCACTTTAATAAACAATTACATGTTGTTTCGGCAGTAATATAAATTTACTGAACACAGTAACGGAAAAGGAATAAAATTTACTCATATCAAAAGACACTGAAAATGTAATTGATGAGAGCTTATATGCTTATGAACAACATCTTAAGCTTTAGACAAAGATTATTAATTGTGAAAAATAGTTATGCAACATGACAAGATTCGATTTAAAAATCGAGATGAAATGTAATCAAGTAGGACATGGAGAAAGAAATAAGTAGGTTAAGAGTAAAAGTATAGTTCAGTACAAAAGAAGAAGATAGTGTGATGGATTTGAAGAAATAGGGGGTTAAGACCGTGACAGAACAAGGAATTGAATAGGTTCCTTCATTATATGCATAAAAACAAAACATACCAGTATATGTAATGCATAAAAGTTCCGGATAATTTACATTAGAAAATCGACCAGCCATCACGGATGTTAAGTGATAATTCACTTTCTAAAACATGAAAAAAGTAAATGGAACATTAAAGTTCTAAATAAAAAAATACAACTTTTAGTGTAAATACGACATCTACATATTTTTTACTATGGGAGTCAAGGAATATATAGTCTTCAAAGAGGATGAATTCAAAATAACATTCCTGGGTAATTTCCACAGTAATACAAAGACCATTGGATGAATTTTATTACCGAATGCTATTGCTTTGGGACGTATTCGTTTTTATCAATGATCGTAGGCAACCTTCGCTGATTGGTAATATCTAGCTTAAAAAACCGAGGCCTTATGCTTATTGCTTTTAGTCATTTTATATCAAACAAAATTCATTGTGATCTTCACACACTTGAACAATTCATCGATAGAATTTGATATACGTTGAGAACGAAACAACTTGACAGACATCACTATTCAATGATCAGTAAATGAAACGAAAGGTTGCGCATGATCATGGATTGATCGTATTCGGACATTAACACCGCTGGATGCCGATTAGGGACTCTATAGATGAAGCGTTCGTGTGGGACCGAAGGTCCGGGGTTCGATTCCCGTGCGTGGGGCCAAGGATGCACACTGCTAGGTATTTCAATACTAGGCCAAAACGGCCATCAAGTGCTTCCAGATTTTCAATGGTATTTTAGCTTGAATCGACTAGTGATGTCAACAGTGAAAATATAGTTTAAAAAGACAGGAATGAAAATAATCATTGGTTAGTTTTTCCTCTGACCTTTACTTTCAACCTTGATTAGTCATTTAGCAACCGATAATTAACTCGAGGTCATTATATTCTGGCTGAATAATTGTCTATCAATAATAACTCTTTTGAATTGTTACAATCGCTTTAGACAATGGTAACATATCACGCCGCGAAACTGGGTTTGAATCTCATAGGGCATGTTAGCACTCTATTGAGGCTATGGAATCTACAAATATAAATTAGGAAGAACGGTATCTGTTATATTCGAGCGAAGATTAAATCACGAGTAACTCCTGAGACATATTAATTGACTAATATTACCTAGATTGTAAATTTAGAACAACATAGATATAAGTGAACAATATTGTTTTGAATTGGATCCTCATCAGGCTTTACTGTAATATACAATAATATTTATATTCATATACGAAATCATTAAACCAATCAAGGTAGTTTATAAGTCAACGATAACAATGAAAACGATTACATAATAAATGATTTGAACCTTTATTATTCTTATCAAAACGAATTCACCTGTTGTCACACCACCAATTTGTACTTTTCACGTTTCACTTATTATGTAATCGTTTTCATTGTTATCGTTGACTTATAAACTACCTTGATTGGTTTAATGATTTCGTATATGAATATAAATATTATTGTATATTACAGTAAAGCCTGATGAGAATCTAATCGAAAACAATATTGTTCGCTTATATATGTTGTTCTAATATTACTTATATATTCTCATGGTATAATTATTCAATAATTAGATTATGTGAATTTATATTCCTCTTATTATAAGCTTTATTTTGATCTATAATTTGTTATTGTACGAAGTACGGTTCTTAAGCTATGCTCAGTTTACTGACTACTGCCTCCCACGTTCACAGCCACATTTGACCAAATATTGTATAAATGTTATTTTCTATTTTATGGTACGTTGTGGTCTGTCTGGTTGATATATAAACCGAGTATGTTTGAAATAAATGATTCATATTGCAGAAGCTGGTATTGTGTTTTGGGCTCAAGCGGATGGGCTAGGCGGACATAGGACCAATAAGGACGATAGGCTGCTCATGTCGGTCGAACGTCATTGGTTTGGCATAGTGCTAAGATTGTATAAATTGTATTTTGATCGGTGGACAGATCATGTGATAAAAGCTGGACATAAAGTCATAACAGTATCAATATAGCTTTAAGATGAATTTTTGTTACATTAATTTTTGTGTGAATTCTATTATCAAAATTTATCAAAGGAACTAATTGTTTTGAATCCGATTAATTGACCTTCAACCCATTTTTCATCGATAATTACTCAGTTTTCATAGTTTACATCAAGGACTTATCTTAGTTAGATCATCATTGAAAACCAAGAAGCACTGAAAAGCTGTATCATCCTAGTACTGAACTCCTCAACAGTGCGCATCCATGACTTCACTGGAGATTAAACCTAAAACCCTCAAATCAAACAGGAAGCATGATATCATGTAATCAATAAACCAGTATTCAACAAATTATATTTTCAATCATAAAAACTCCATGATATATATATCAAGATCCCCATAAAATGTCAGTGGCCAGTAATTTACTGACCTCTGGCTTACATCTTATCACCAGGATTGAAAGTAATGAGTTTGATCCCATATTTTGAAGCCGTGAGGGCGTGCTATTAAAGAGATCCATTCAAGGAAAAAATATCTGTCGGATGCAGTCTAGTTTTGAACGTTTCTCAAGATAATATCAGTTTTTGATGAAAGTTTCTGCCGTTATCAAACTCTCGACATATAAATAATCTCCATAAAACTTTTTAACGTATCTATCACTCACCGTTTCATACATCAGTAATGGATATTTATGTTGATCATATTTATACAGTTCGATTCTTCCATTTGTGAAAGCAACAATTAATACCTCTTCAGTATTTTCACTATCATCATCATCATTGCTATTGTTTTTGTTATCGTCATAATTCAACATATCATAGTGTTCCAGTGATAGAATTTCACTGGTACCAAATTTTGATGAGGCTTCCCATATTCTTGTGACATTTTCACTAAACAAAACAATAACAATAATAGTAGTAATAAGTATCAAGTGAGGAATAGAAGATGCTATCAGGAAAGCGTAAATCGATAAAATTACTATTTGTAATGATCTCTGTATTTTTGTTGTCAATATTTACGATAATGTGTTTTATTAGTATCTGTTTGTATAAGCGGTTTTTTCACTGGATGTTTTCATAAATACTGCTTGCGCTTACATGATTATGATACTAGTTTCTAACAGTGGAACCCACATCATGGATTTCATTAGCTGAATATACTTATATCACACTGACAAATCCAACACCTAGTTTTTTGAACGTTGAGTTATACGCTAAGCTAGTGAGTGAAGATCATGTTTAGCTTATTCAATAGTTATATCAAAAAAGACTGTTCTAATGTACCTCAGAATGTTAAGAACACTAAAACATAAATCCGAGTGAATAATAGCATGTAACCTTTAAACAAGTTGGTAGCTATCATAAGTCTTGGAGCTCAGTAAAATAAGCGCTAAATAATAAATTCACGTTTCACTGTGAACGTCAAAACCGAGATCAAGGTACGTCCATTTGCGATTAATAACAGTTACAACGAAACTAAAGTTCTAAATTACAACCTTAGTTACTATTGGAAATATATATTTAATTTGCTGAAAATATGTTCAACAGAGGTACTGCAAAACTAAAAACGGCATGTGGAAAATACCGAAGCTGAAAATTTGTCCTGTAAACAAGCACAAATAAATATGGAACGTTCATCAAATTAAAAAAACGTAAAGTTATTTGTGAGTGATCAGTACGTTTCCTGTCTACCAAGTGAGTTTGATAGTAATAACTATACATATATATATATATATATACTATGATAGCCTCAGCCTTATCATCACTTCTCCATAAGAATTCGTCAGCAACTTAAATTTAAAAATAACTCACATATGGATATAATGACTAGGTTATTCCAAAGAAAAGAGATTCAAATATTCTATTAAGTTATTCAATAAACTCACGTAACTACATAGGAACCAAGATCTGTTTAAAAACGAATCATGGAAAAGTAATCAATACAAGGATGCATTGATGGAGACCGAAAGAAATCCTCCTTATCAGAATCGAAGATTTATCCAGATTGTCTGCCTTGAAGACAGTTTAATTAAGCTACCCAACTATCGAAAATTATAAGGCAATAAGAATTCGGTTTGTACTTATATATGACTTATTTAGTATCCACACTCACGAGTTCCTAACACGGATCAAACTCATGACGTTCAAGTTTCAAAGTAAATGTGCTCCCATTATTCTACTGAGTTAGTATTACAGAATATAATATATTCAATAAGCCAAATAAATTGACAAACTTGAATTATTTATACTGCAGTGTTTTCAAAATTATTAGTAAACTTAACGAAAGTTACCATTTCAAAATAACAACATTCATTAAAAAAAGCCCTGTGACTTCTCATTCTCATGTACACCTCTTTCCTTACGGGTTTGAACTAAGAATCTGCAACTCTATCAGTAACCATGTTGCTATACAGTCGTTAGGTTAGCAGATTACAGAGAGTTGATAATTGCTCTCTCAATTATATTGACAAAGCTTATCATTGAAATAGCTATCTTGATCATTTGATATGGTTGATTTCATACACTTCATTATAACGTTAGAAACTAAAGAAATTTATCTAAAAATCAACAGTTAATTATAATAAATAAAACTTCAGTCAATCAAATAATCAGTCACGAATTGGTTGAAACTAGAAACATCAACAGTTGGATGCTAACTCAATAGTCTAAAATTTGAACCCTCGTAGAGAGAAATAACGACCCCTGGTTTTCAAAGAATATATAACTAAGGTCAATCTCTTACGTAAAGTCAAAAATTTATTAAAAATGTATTTATTTAATCTATGATGCTCTATTCACAATCCTTTCATACAAATTAATTTACAGATATATTAACATAGATAATATTCACCTTGTCACTTGAAAAAGACCAAAATAACCTTCTGATGTTCCATACATTAAATAATTTGAAGGATAACTTTTATGCGCTCTATTTATGGTGACTGGTGAACTAGAAATTTCCAATTCGCATAACAGTACACCATTCTAATAAATAAAAAAACAATAATCAGTAATATCAAAATTTTAATTGTTCAAAGATTCTCATCATATTAAAAGATTCATATTTGAATGAAGAATATTCTTTTCGATAAATTCTCTTCAGGTTCTATAATTATTGTATATCCAAATTAATAATCCGAAAAATGGCCAGCTTTAAGGGTAACTTATAACGTTTAAAGTATGTGAATTTAGGATTGTGATAAACAAAATACAATAAAATTGTTAATGTTGATATTGACTCAGACAGAATGTTAACTTGAATCTGCGTATATGTTAAGTGAAAATTTTAAGATCCATGATCAGAATAAATATGGGTCAGATAGGGTGAGAAAGAAATAATAGTGCAATTACAAATTCGATCAAATTAGTAAGACGCAATAAGGAGGGATGAATACAAAGTGAATGAATCATGTCTAGGAGAATGATGTTTAACCAATAATAGTAATGATAATAATAATAATATTAAAGAGGAAGAATGTACTTGTAAAATCTCAGCGGAAGAATTTGAAGTAAATCCAACGTTTCGCCTGACAATCTGGTCCAAGCTCTTTCAAGGAAAATATAATCAAACAACAAAATGATCGAATATAATAATAATAATGCAAAGATTTGTGAATAAAGATAACAGACTACGAAAGGTCGTAGTCAAAATAGGTCATTCAATAGCTGAGATTAATATTGATTAATTGGTCTTGATTTTGGCCAGAGGAGGAGTGGTTGAAGATATGTCTTCTGTACGCATAGCTGCAGTTTCTTCACCCGGATGGCTACTGCTTTAGCCGTTTGAAGGAGCTCAAGTCTGAAAAGCTTTGGCAAAAAATTACTGACCTTATAAATAATTGAAAAAGATTGGTTTATACTGGCACTATGACCAGTTTGTACTAAAAGGGCCAATATCGAGCTGTTCATTTTCTTCATCAAACCTTTGTTTAGCCACGCTGGGAGGTGTTCACGAGCATCAAAATGTAAATTCCTAGAACTTCGACCAATATACCTCGCTCCACAGGAGCAGTTGAACTGATAAATACAAAACGAGGTGGTCATTCTAGGCAATTCATCTTTTAGCCTGTGTCACCACTGGGCGCGTAGAAAACATTAATCACATTTCCCCGGCGTTAAAAAATTTCTATAACATCTTACGTAATCTCTGAGTTACTATTTCACTAGCCGCGTCCCCTCTGATTGATTAATTTGGATCTATAATTATAGAACCTGAAGAGAATTTATTGAAAAGAATATTCTTCTTTCAAATATTTGTCTTTTAATATCAAGATTCTTATGAAACATAAAATAGAAAATTTTAATATTTTACTTACTTTCAAAATACGTATTAATTTATCTTTACAAGCAAGAACAACAAGTGGTATTGAACATGTACCATCATTATTAATCACATATATACTTGTAATAATATCAGGTAATAGAAGAAATTCAGTATCTTTAAAATTTGTTAATTGTTGATACATACATCCTACAGTATAATAAATATTTGTAGATTGTATAAACCTAAATAACTCAAAGAAAAATAACTATGATTATTTGTTTTAATTAGTTAACATACATTGAATTCACATGACCTTGAATAGCTGAAGGATATTCAAAAAGATGTTTTCCTTTTAATGTAAATCCAGATATATTAAAATTATGACAAACACTAATAATACGTTGTTTCTCATTATTTTGATATGTTCCAATACAAATACATGTAATTGGTGATCCCACAGAAAATTTTGTATGCTATTAGAAATATATAAATATATATACATTACAACAACGTTTTACTCTGTCTTATTTACCTTTAATCCATTAATATATTGAAATGAATGTATATCACCAGTAGTATCTGCCACAACTAATTTACTCTTATAATGTTTGTTAGATAATGCCTTAGATGGTAATAAAAGTTTTGCAGAATTTCTAAAGGTTGTTTTTATCTAAAGTATTAGGTAGTAAATTTTGTTTTATATTTTTTCCATACAGATGTATAATGTGTTTGATGAAGAATAAATGACATTGAACATTCAATAGTGTTGTTTTAATCAAATTGGTTTCTACGCGTCAGTCAGTCAGCTACAACATAGGCTGAAAATATGTATTTAAAAAAAAGTTACATTAGTTCATTTTAAGAGTAAGTACAGAAAAAGTATAAACGAATTTACCCAGCGATTTACTTCAGTAACTTGTTACTGTCAGTAGCATGATAAAATATCAGTGAAAAAAAGTAAATATTATGTAAAAATGATCCAATTGGAATGATGGTAAGATTGGCATGAAGTTAATTTCATTAATTCTACAACTATAATATCGAGTAAAAACTATTTGCAACAGAATGTTAACGATTCGAAATTATTTTATCATTAAGCATAGATTTGAATGACACCGTCACACTTTCTAGATATCAAAAACCTTAGAATATGAAATAGTAAACAATATGGCTCATATATCAAGTACATATTTATGTATTCAGCTCTAGGTCACACTTTCTTATGATCGGTAACATTACTACATTTTTAAATGAGTTAATTTTAGCCATGACTTCTATTTTATTTTGCATTGTTAATTATTCCCCATCACATATACTTGACATGATAAACTTTTTGAAGAAACAATACCCAGGTGATTATATTTTAAGTAGTTCATATTGACCAAATATCGTCTAGAAGACTTTTCCAGGTGTGGGATACTACATTACTATTAAATTTTCATATTATTCATACAAAACTTAAGATACGTGTAGGAGTGAAATCATCAAACACTGGCAGCTCTATGCTTTTAGTGTAACAACAAGGATCCAGTTGCATGAAATTTTCTGAACTACACAGACATGAAGATGTAAATAAGACAAGATAATATGAAATGGCTTCTAATCGAGAGGTACTGAAAAGTTGAAATGAACATTTAACTTGTTACTTAAAATGTTTTGTTTTCATATGATTAGGAATTAACAAAATGTTTCAGTGTACTTGAGGAATAAATTAAAAATTTCGTTAACAAAATTCCGATGACTTGAATTAGATGGATGAAACTTTTAGTATAAACCAGTCACTTAACCAAAAATACATTATTTCAAACAATTCAGTAAAAATACGTCACTCCACAAGGATGGAATTCGATTTCTTGTTGCTTCAATTTAATGTCGAAACAACAAAGTGACGTAATGAGGATTAAAATAGGTTCCAAAAGTTGCTTTTGAGATTTTAGAAAAACGACCACTAAATATGAAGTTGCTATTCATAAACCAGTATTTATCATTTAATCATCTTTATGTTACCCTACAAATAATTACATTTTGGTTGTTTCATAATAAAACACAGAAATTACATTGTATAACCAGCACTGTGAGTTAGTAATTGATTAATGGATTGAAATAACTATATAGAAATTAAGTATGCAGTTCAAGGCAAACATTTTTTCACCTGTTCAAAATTCTACGGAGAAAAATAGGTTAGTTAGTCAGCTATAATCATCGTATGTTCGCTCAAGCTGCCGCACTACATTAGCAAAATGAGATGATAATAAAAAGATAACTAGAAAAGGAGTTGAAATAACGACAGCATCAATTTTAATAAATACAAAACGTTAAAAACCTGGTTCAAAAAGACAATGTAGAACGGTATAAAAGGGATGCTAGAATTAACGATCGAGAAGTTGGAGAGTGAATGGATTTGCATCATTCTGATTGATTCTGGAACATATCACTAGTGTTTCCAACCAATAAACCCGATCATAGCGAAGACCACAACAACATAATCCATGCCTATCAACATACATCAAACCAGGTTCTTGACTTAATTGACTGATCTAATACACCAAATTAGGACCGCCCAAGTTTCTTTCGACTCGCTTCCACAGAAGAAGAAAATTTCACATCAAAGCACGCAGTAGTTGGGAATATGCAATAAATAGCCAATCACCTCAACTGATGAACTGATGAATAGAGTTTCACCAACCGACCTGCTACTCCTATGACTCACTCAGTTTTTCCACGTTTTTCAAACAATATTTATAGGACATCTCTGATCAGACACCTTTGGTCTATATATATCTTCCACAAGCTCTCTAACCTACCCTCCACCCTACATATGCATGGTCAGCTGATAAAGAGACTTAGTGTTAATGAAAATCTGCCATCTCATGGAAAATATAGATTTTCAGTTCAGTTAGCCAGATAATATAATTTTGACCGACCTCGTTAAAGTTTAATAGTTGAGAATGCAGCAAAAATTAAATAACAAGTGCATCACAATGGCAAGTTGCCATTATATTTGTGATTTTTTAAATATATTTTTAATCTCTAGGTTTAAATGCCTACAACAAAATAAGATGCATAGAAACATTTTCAAAATTATTGAATGCTGGAATCAAAACAAAAATAGTTAGCTGAGTTCATGTTTCTGAAGCAACTAATTTTGCGGACCGGCAGAAGAGTATTATTAATCGCATCTATCCGTTTGCCAAATATCAAATTAACAATTGATGTCATCTAATGGTCAGTAGATCTACCGCCGAGAGATTTCTCAGTGAATTGTCAGTTCAATGTGTTTCTAAATACAGATAACTAGAAAACAAACAACCAAAATGAGGATACTTTCACTAGATTCGTGAATTATTAATCTTAAGTTACGTCTCACTGTACTTAACAATATATTCAAAAGTAACGAGACATATAAAGCAAACGATCCATGGAATCCGTCAACGGATACTCAGTTAAAATTTCATGGGCCGACTGTGATGTTTACTCAGCAAGTAAGACTATAAAATCTAAAATCCACACCGTAAATTCATACTAGAGTTTTAGTTTAATGATTAAACATCATCAATCCTAATTTGAAAAAGCCACATTAACTTACCACTCACGAAATACAATTTTAGAAAAGAAAGTGGACATAACTTGTCAAATTGCTACGAGAATATAGTTTCACGACTTGGAGGATCATTTGAAAGCGTGAAATGCAAAAGTAAATCTAGGAAGGTCTGTGATTGTTGTAGTTGCTGTTTCCATTTAGTAAAATCATAGAAACAGTCTGTTACGAGCTCGAAATCAAATGCTAATATGAATGAATCTTAACAAGACAACTTAATTTGTATGGTCAGTGTTATTTTTCTAATGAAATATTCAAATATTGTGCGGAAGTGCATTTTTTAAAGTTATAACATTATAGGTTAAAAGAGATCATATGATAAATTAGACAGCAAGTGTCATGAAGTAATAGAAAAACACACTATAAAAATCACCAGAAAGTGGGATCAGGCGCAAAAAACGTTAAGATAAACACAATGATTGTTATTAATTTTATGGATCTAAATTTACGGAAAAGTGAGCTTCTGTTCACTAAGCAGAATCAAAACCTGATGACAAATGACTGTATAACCTGGGTAATTTTATATCATTGCATTAGCCTGGTTCTTTTGACGAAAGATAAAGATTTACCTTAATAGTTCGAATCAATATTTATGTTGTATAAAATAATAATTTTTTTTGGGTCGTATTGGTCTTACACGAAGTCGTAATGAGCATAAGATTTGTGGCGAAATAATCAGTTTCACAGTTTAGGTAAACTGATTTGACCTGAGGCTGTTGAAGAAATTCAGTAACTCTTTACATTGGAATGAGTAAGGTCGACAAACTGTGTATAACTTGGAGTTGCTGAAGCAGAATCGTAAGCTATGTATTCAAAACAGGATTACATTGTATTCTGTGATAAACATTGCTACTAATTTGATTAAATGTTTGGTCTTATGCTTTCTATGTTTAGCTTCATCTTTAATTTTTAACATCTCGTAAGTGTTGGCTGAGTACAAGTCGTTTACAGTATATGTATGATTAATTCAATATATTTTTTATTATCACGCAAACCCAATCAACCAACAAAGGGGAAATAAAGGCGAAAATGCTTTGGGAAATAAATGAGAAGTAAAAAAGAAACTTGCCAAAATGTCTGCTTTTTCGCCTAAATATACGCCGAATTGTGTGACTAATCGCACAACAGGCTTACTTAAGTATACTCAATAACAACAGATCATTATTTGCTGCCTTCTGGTCAAGCTACTATGAGGTCTACAAACTGATTTCAATAACTGAAGAGCGGATATTAGCATTAAGTTCAAAAGAAAGAACCAATAACATATAGCTATATGTTAATGGTTCTTTCTGGAAGCGAATGTCTATTCCAAATTAACTAATAAGCAAAAATGAAGCCGTTGAATAGTAACATGACGGATCATTATTTTTGAAAAGTTTAAAAAGATTTTAGTGGTTTAAACCACAGAAAGTACTTTCTGCATAGACGAATTCGTCTAGACGGAATTTAAATTTGTCTATCCAGAAAGTACTTTTTGTAATAAAGAAGAATACCGGGTAGCTTGAGTGATGAAGGCTTGAAAGGAAAAGGACAAAAGAAAAAGTGTTTTGAAGACAGAACAAACGCACGTAATACACTCACATTCACTAAACAATTCGAGATTGTACAGTTTCTTGGACGCGATGATAATAGTCATTTGGCACACTAAAACAAGTCTACTGAACTTACAAGAAATTAAGTTAAGCCACCTAATCAGTCTCCGCATTTTTAAAAAAAATTTTGTTCATCTGTCATAGTCATAGTTGACAACCTCTCAATCTTGGCTCCCCTGAGAAAAAGCAATCATGCCGTTATAGCTTTCAGTTTCGTCAGCAAAACTGAGCTAAGATATCCCACCAACAACTTGCGCTGGAATTTAAAACGGTTGAATGTGTCAGCTTCACAGGACTATATACAACAGGTGGATTGGGATATTCACCCTCAACTCGATGTGGATGCTCATTGGGACTTCTTACAGCACACGCTCATAGTGCTACAAATCATTCAGTTCCTCAAACGGTCCTCCATAGCTATCAGCGACCCACAATCATCAGGAACCGCACTCTTCGCCTGCTAGGCCGCAAAAGGCACTGTTGGGCAGAATACAAACGAACTGACAACAACGGAGCGTACAGGCAATACAATCATATAAAGAACATATGCACGAAGGCTATGAGATGACAGGCTTCAGTACCAGACAAAGCTTATGGACAAATTTGTCTCTAATCCGAAAAGCTTATT